CAGGGGTGAAAAATATATCAGGCGACTCTACACGACTAGGGCTACAAGATAAAGTACATATTTTGTTGTGCGCTCTCAGTGGAAACGAAACTTCACATTTCTCAACCCTGGCCCCCGTACTAGTAGTCCTTCGCATCATAATCACGGCCAGCAATACGCAACAAAACGTTCCTTCGTGAAACGGTAAAATCACCGCAGATTCATACTTCATTTCGCGTACGGGAAAGTCATCGCGCGAAGACTTTCCCATACGCGAAATAGTTATTATTATTATTATTATTTTTTTTTTTAGTGCAATAAAGAGTATAATAGATGCAGACATGGCCAGACAACAACGAGTTTATAGGCGTTTCACACTCACGTCTTTATTCGCGTCTTCGTTGCCTAGGCGATCCCCGGGGAATCCCCAAAACGTGAGCTGAAGACTTCAAAACGCAGACGCGGCCCTATGGGCAGAGTCTTCGGCCACGTCTTCGTCTTTTTTGTCGTCTTGAACTCTTGTCTGGCCTAACCGCATGCGCAGAGATCTTGGCGGGGAAATTTAAAGTGAGCATGCAACCTGCTAGCTGCATCTGTCAAAAGAATTCTCTTCTTCCGTTCCGTTCTCTTCGACTTTGACATTGAGGTTCCGTTCTTTTCTTTTCATACCGGTGCCTTTGTTCGTACCTTCACCTTCACCATGACGAAAACGTTTGATAATGAGGCCGAGGCTTGCCTGTTGCGGATTTGGCGCCAGATTTACGCTTCCAATGTCGATCGGGAAGCAATTGCCCAAGGCCGCGCCACAAAAGAAAAAGGAAGAGCCGAAGCACACGTGCTTCCATCGCAGGGCGTAATATTCTTCACCCACAAAAGCGAAAAAATGTTGACCACAAAACTAAAACTGAGAACTGCTTGGTCTTCCTCGAGGCTGGCTGTACATGGTGTGGAAACTACAGAACTGCCCAAGATTTTTTTATTTTGAATCTACTCGCATGCCGTTATTTTTTTTGCCCATGGACTGCTAAAAATGTTGCTGATTGTTGGCAAAACGATGTGTTCGATGTGTATGTGAATCGACTTGTGCAGCAAGTCGACGTTTTGGCTGAAAACGACGTCACAGAAAGACGCGAGTATGAAACGGCTATAATGGAATTGTATCCTTTAAAAAAAATCCTCTAAAATTCCATTAACTCGTTGTTGTCTGGCCATGTCTGCATCTATTATACTCTTTATTGCACTCATAAAATTGCTTTCTCCACACCGACTCTTTATTAAATTTTTATAGGGCATTCCCACAGGCCTATAGTTGAGCTGAGATCAACTTTTTCGCGACACGACGCATTTCCCGTACACGAAATGAAGTATTTAGGGGGTCGCCATGGCAAATAATGGGTCCATTGTTATTAGGCATCTGCCTGTTTTGGTTTCTCCACTATAAATAAAAGGATACCGAATAATAATGGAAAAACCAAGATCCAACATACTACACATTAGGCAAATGCGGATAATGCCGGCAGAAAAATTGGCAGAATTCGGTACTTTTCCGGTAAGTTTCATGCATGTTTGGTATGTGGATAAAGAAATGGAGCAGAATTCGAGGCCCGCCATAAGGTTTGTATGGTTCTGCCAATTTCACTGCTTTTCGAGCAGAATCTGTCACTTTTTCGAGCATTATCCGCACACCCCTACAACACATGACTGCAGTGTTGCATATTGGTAGATTTCATTAATGACACGTATTTCCCTGATGATTGTCTCTAGAAGACTAATTAACTTGTTCGGAAATTTTATTATCCATATTTTATTCTTGTCGATTACTACGTCCAATGTCCGCTTCGCTGATTCTGCTGATTGTTTTTAGACCAATTAGGCTGCGTTCGTTTTTAGCTACCTGGTAGAGTAGAGTAGAGTCACTCTACCGATAGAGGTAGATGGTAGAGGCAAGTGCACGAACGTTATTCTACCGGATTGAGTAGTTTACACGATTGTGTGACGATATGTACGTGAAATGTTTCTCCTCTGTATGGAGTTGTGTACAAATCCTTGATCTCCGAAATCCCGTAGCTCTACCAACTTCTACCGGATTCTACCAACTTTTTCCCGGGAGAGCCGGTAGAGGAAAGTCGAATCTACCCTTTTGAGTAGATTTTTTTTCAAAAAACGAACACCTCTACCGAAAGAAGTAGTTTCTAGCCAAACCTGTAGATCAAAAACGAACGCCCCCTTAGAACAAGGTCTGTCTCGTTGTCCAGGAAACTACCGTGCCCCTGACAAGCCGTATCTTGGTCCAAGATATGGAATTAGGTACCGCCATTGACGATGTACGTGTTGCCAAGAAGCAAGCGAAGAACACAGTTGACGCCTCGGTTCGGGCTGATGCTGTGCTTCTTTCCTCATCTGTGGATACTGAGTTGCAGCGGGTCATTGCGCTAGCGTCGGAGAAGGGAGCTTCTTCCTGGCTGACCTGTCGACCCTTGAAGCGGCATGGCTTAACCCTCGCCAAGGGTGAGTTCCGCGATGGGATTCACTTGCGCTACGGCTGGCTTCCACAGCGACTGCCATCATCTTGCAGCTGTGGAGCCACATTTTCAGTCGCTCACGCTTTGTCTTGCCCCACAGGGGGTTTCCGTCGGTGCGGCACAATGAGGTGCGTGACCTCACTGCCCACATGCTGAAGCGAGTGGCTCACAATGTCTCCGTGGAGCCCCACCTGCAGCCGGTCACTGGGGAGCAGTTCCGGTATCACACCGCTATCCAGACCGAGCAGGCCCGTCTCGACGTTGCGGCAAGTGGCATCTGGGGTGGCTGGTTTGAGCGCACCTTCATCGATGTGAGGGTTTTCAATCCTCATGCGACCTCAAACCGCGCCACCTCCATTGCTTCCTGCTACACCAAGCACGAGAAGAAGAAGCGGCGCTGCTACAAGCAACGTGTCCGCGACATAGAGCATTCGTCGTTTGTTCCGGCCATATTCTCTACCACTGGTGGTTTGGGCAAACACGCGGAGTCGCTCTACAAGCGGATAGCTTCTCTTCAAGCCGCGAAGACTGGAGAAGCATACAGCTGTGTTATGTCTTGGGTTCGATGCAAATTGAGTTTTGCCCTACTCCGGTCCAGCGTGATGTGTTTGCGCGGATCCCGGAATCTTCGGCCGGTGCAGTTGGACTCACCTCCCACCTTGGCGGTTGCTGAGGCGGGTATTCGCATTTGATACCATTTGCCTCTGGTTTTGTCTGTATTGGTTTCGTCTGTGCTCTTTTCATCCTACCAAGAGTACATAACCCCCCAGAGTGTGCAACTCCCACATACCCTGTTGTCCCGACAGAATTTCAAGTTGACGTCATTACCGTAAAGTACCGTTGATCCGCCCCCACGCCATGTCGCTTCCCAGCTGGGTTTTCGGCAGGGGGCGGGAATTAGATCAAGGCTGTCAAGTGCAGTACGATGTACAACAACGTAGAGGATCAGACTCTGCTGAATTGTGCACATTTTGATCCTGGATTGGCAAGTATTGTGTACAGCAGTGCATGCGTCGGTTCAACATCGTATTTCGTTGTATACGTATCGCTTCACAAGGAGAAAATCGACAGGGGGCGGGAATTAGAGAGGGGGCGGATCAACGGTACTTTACGGTATTTATGACGCAATGCTCCTTGCACCAGTGATTTACAACATGTGTACGGGTGTCAACGCATCACACGTTTTTCTTTGCAATAATTTGTACAGGATCGATTGGCTTCGGTCAACCACAGGTTCCGGATTCGTCTGATAACCCGTGTACAGTGCGCATTGCATCATCAAAATGACGTCAACTTGAAATTCTGTCGGGACAGCACCCATAGTGGAGTTTATTTATTTATTCACAATCACGTGGCACTAGCCAATGAAATGGTGATGTGGGCGATAGCCAGCCATGTGTTGCACACTCTGGGGGGATATGTACTCTTGATCCTACTACTGTACTAGTAGTTTTCAGTCCGCTATCGGGCAGCAGCACTCCAGTTTAACTTCTTTTTCCTTTGACTTGATCATTGGTATTTTACCATCAGCAAAAAAATCAACAACCAAGGAAACGACCAATCAGCGATGTTCCTGCCAAGGGCCTTGTCAGAGTTTAAAGCCCGCTCAATCGTAATCTTGCTACTCTTGCTGACGTGTCGAGGGCCTTGGATTAGTTTAAGGCTGCGTTTACACGACAACGCTGGGGTGAAAACGCAACAAAATCCGTTCGGATGCATGGTTCATTTACACGGTATGAGGAGCAAAACGTAAAAGTTGTACACCAAAACGGAAGAAAACCGAAACGCTGGCCAAGGTGGAAGAATTTGAAAACGGAAATGTTCTGCCGGATAAATTTGGGTGTGTAAACAGTCAAAGTAAGCTGGCCTCGTTTTCCGTCACGTGTGTTTCGTTTTCCGTCACGTGTGTTTCGTTTTCGGCCGTTTACACGGATCTGACAATCAGAAAAATTGTTTTTCTATTAATTTTGTCGTCATGTGACGAGTATTGTTTTGTGGCCTGTTTTCAACTATTGCTTGAGTGTGATTGGTGCTTCCACGACAACACTTGGCACATGACGAACTTTTGCGGATCCTTTGCTCCCTTGCAGACGCGCGGAAACGATACAAACGGAGACCACCTCGGATCAGCCTTGATCGTGTAAACGCACGAAACCACCCAATAGAAGGGTACACAAGCATAATGCAAGTGAGATAACGAATGTAACCTCGTTCTAAAATAGCTAGTGCATGGCAAGGAGGGCCTTATGGCTTGTTTGTGCCCTCGGGCCTGCGGCCCTCATGCTAACCTGTCGGGCACTAACAAGCCATAAGGCCCTCCCTGCCATGCACTAACCTTTAATAGAAATCAGATATTTTCTGCAAAAGAAGGGTGTTGAACTAGACAAATGCAGAGCGAATAGAAGCTTCTGGAACGGTGCAAGGAAATACATCGTGAATGGATGAAAGGGTGGAGCCATCTTCTAGGACTTCCTTTGCAACTACTTGGCTTCGAAGTAATTGAATAAATGAAGGAATCTACTGAATAAGATGCAAACAAGGAAAACCGAAATAGAAATCAGATTATTCTGCAATGAAAGTTTTGCAACTCAGCGTGAGCAGAATAAAGGCGATGTTCTGAAACGGTGAAAGGGGAGAGGGAATACATGCATTATGAAGCTGCATCAGAACCAATTCTTGATATGCCTCTAACTGCAGGGGAAGAGAGAGAGAGAGAAAGAGAGAGAGAGAGAGAGAGTAAGTTACATTTATAAAGACAGGTAAGTCTAACAAATGAGGACTGAGACCTCGACAACAAGGTTTTTACGCCTGAAAGCAGGTGCATGATTTAACAAGCAGGTTGTCAGTCTAGATTTTATGCGCAGATGGAGAAAAAGCGCAGAATTTTTGTAATGAGATGAAAAGCAGAAATAATAAGAAATAATAAGAAAAGATGAAATGAAAGCCTGCTCACAACCCCGCCCAGCCTTGCGAACTGGGTATGGTGGATTAAGAACCCGGTTCAACGCTCGAGCAAGCGCTCTCCACTCAAGGTGTTCACAGCAACTGATAGGAACTCATATGGGGAAATTATAGAAAGAGAGAGAGAGAGAGAGAGAGAGAGAGAGAGAGAGAAAGAGAGAGAGAGAGAGAGAGAGGGAGAGAGCATAGACACGGTGCATGCACAGTCATGAGTACAATGCCAAATTGTGTGTTACTTTAACCCATGTCCTTTAGCAAGGGTACCATAAAAAGCTACGCATTTCAGAAGTGTGTACGTCTTTTTTGCCTCCCGTACTCTTTCATCTGTACGATTTTCCGTTTTCAACAGCTGGCGAAACCCTATAAAACCGCTCCACAAGTTATGAATAAGAATGAAGCTCGCAAAAAGAGCCCAGTATTTCATTTATTTCTATTCTACTTTTAGTAGTACCAAGAGTACATAACCCTCCAGAGTGTGCAACTCCCACATACCCTGCTGTCCCGACAGAATTTCAAGTTGACGTCATTATTTATGACGCAATGCTCCTTGCACCAGTGATTTACAACATGTGTACGGGTGTCAACGCATCACACGTTTTTCTTTGCATTAATTTGTACAGGATCGATCGGCTTCGGTCAACCACAGGTTCCGGATTCGTCTGATAATCCGTGTACAGTGCGCATTGCATCATCAAAATGACGTCAACTTGAAATTCTGTCGGGCCAGCACCCATAGTGGAGTTGCACACTCTTGGGGGGTTATGCACTCTTGGTAGTTCTCAGTGGTACATCACCAATCCTCTCTGAGTTTGCAACTCATGCCGCACACAGTGGTATAAATGCAGACATGTTACAAGTGTCTACAAGTACTGCCTCAGGACTAGCCGTTTGTTGACAAAAAGCTGGAATTTCCCGAAATTGTCCGCTATGAAACTTGAAATGCAGCTCAAATCTCACAAGAGGCTCGTTTTATGCCTTTCTAATGCTCCATAATGCTCTGACGCTCGGATAGTCTCATATTGGCAAATACAATGCCGGCATTATCCACTAGATCCCAAGGCTGTGTTTACATGAGAAATTTCAACCCGGGTCGAGTTCAGCCCGGGTTTAAAGTCTGTACGATAGACAAAATACGCGAGCGTTTACATGAAGACAGTTGACCCGGGTCAAATACTGATATGCCGCCAAAAGTCCACTTCTAGAGTCCTGTACGGTCACGTGAATCCGTTCGCGCGAAATTTGCATGTGCAGTGCTGTTCAAACCTGGTGCGAGATACGCACAGAAGTACGTTTGTGCGATTTCAACCCGGATGAAGCGCAATGCGTCATATAAACGTGCCATTCATTTTGTGTACATGGCGGATTGAAATCTGACCCGGGTCGAACTCAACCCGGGCTGAAACGCCTCATGTAAACACAGCCTGACAGGAACAGGCTGTAAGTTGGTATCGTGGCAAGAGTCGGGGCTTTGCCAACTGATGATTGTAGCCTGCAGGGACAGTGAGCAGGTGACACATCTGCACGTGACCGCTTACTCGACTGTGTTCGATTTGGAAGGAGAGTCGACTGGTTTTGGGCCGAGAAGGCTGCGATGCAGCGATCGGCCCTTGTTCCCAAAGACTACAACATGTGGGCCAATCTCACTCATTCGTGCTTTTATAAGAACAAAATGGTGCTTTCAGCGACATGTTGCATGCAGTTAGTATTACCAAGAGTACATAACCCCCAAGAGTGTGCAACTCCAGCTATGGGGTCTGCGACGGCAGAACTTCACATCACGTGATGAACCCGTACACATTATTTGCACTCTGTGCATGATGGATACAGGGTTGTACGCAGCCCAGCTTTGGGTACAACTCTCTTGTGATCACTTTGCACTGTTTGCCAGTGTAACCTTTTGAACCATGTCACGCGATGTGAATTTCTGCCGTCGCAGCACAGCATTGTGGTTGTGCAGGCAGTTGCACACTCTTGGGAATTATGTACTCTTGACATCACCTATAGCGTTGGTGTTTGATTTGGAGCATTTTATCACTATATTAAAGCGATATATTGATATGACCGATAATGCATGCAATGTATGCGAGTGGGGTGTCAAATGACTCGGGGTGCACTGCATAGCTGCCTACAGCTCCTGACACACAGCATCAGCAATTCCTCACGATGGAGGCATATTTGGCAACTACTTATACTGTGGAAGCAGAATTCACCAAACAAGACTGGACAAGTTCTTCACGAAGAAGTAACACCCTGTTCTCCTTTGACGCCTCTTGATTTACATCAATCACTATACCCGATGCAAATATAATGTAAAAGGTCTTTTGAAATATGAATTTAATCTCTAATATTATTACTATAGACAATTATTACTATACACGATGACTGTGTATACTTAGTTATGGCAATTGAAAATGAATTTGAGAAATCGATCACTATAGCCGGTATATTACTATAGCCGCCAACCTTATAGGCGATACTGACTGTATTATATCCCCTTCTACAGTCCATTCATGAAAAATGGTGAAATCCTAGCTTTTGGCCATAAATGGGTCGAATTTTGAGCTTTTTTCTCAATTTTTGACTATCCCCCATGGAATTCTTTTCCAATTCTGTTTCTGAAGTCTATTTCTCCCAAATTAACAAGAACAGGATTTTGGCCATGTTTTCCCCGAAGTTGTGGAAAAACCATGCAAACCCAAGCCGTTCACTCCACTTGCATAGCCACTCCACTTGTGGTTCGAACCCCATTTGAGGTACTTTTTCGGGCCCCTTTTTCGTTTCAAATGTCCCAGCACCTCGCAGTGTACGACAAAATCACGAAAATCACCAAACAAGGGAGCTAAGGGACCATCGCAAAAGTTCGCAGAAGCCCCTGAAACGAAGAGCATACGTTTGGGGGGGGGGGGGGGGGAGGGAGTCGGTGTCGATAATCGCAAACCGGGCTTCAATTCAAAAAAGTATTGCTCAAAGGATACAACTGCATAGCTCTAGCTGTTCTCGTTCTTAGATCACCCACTGCAAGGTGATATCATCGTTGCATTTATAAAGTGCTGTACATTGTTACACACTGATACAACAATGCTTGTGTAGTATATTATAATAATTATTATGTGTGAGCATCCAAGTGAAATAATGAAGCCCATATTGTGACTGTCGTTTCGTTTGAGGGGGGAGGGAGGGGGGTCAGGCCCGAAACTAACGGTCTTCGTTTCGGGGGCTTTGGCGAACTTTTGCGATGGTCCCTAACTTAGCCAGAGCCAGCGCTCATCTTTTTCTGAAATTGACTGAATGGACTGTAGTAGGGTGCACTCACCCAGTTTCGGTGGAAGTGCGAGAGTTCGATTGGGAATAAAGGAGGAAGGGAGCGTCTCAGCTTCCTCGGACCAAGACCTTTCGACTCGGGGAGACTACGAGCAGTGACACGTTGCTTATAGCATTTCCCCCTGTTAATTACATCACGTAGACCATTATAACCACACTTACCTAGTGCCGCACCTCTCTTTTTTCATTTCCATCCAGTAATCACATCCGTGATTGAAGTATATTTCCCGAAGAGGCGGAACGGAGCACGTGAAACGAATACCCCGAATAGCTTTCGAACATAGCACCTTTCCTACAGAGCAGAGGAAGCATAATGATAAAATGCACAGGAAGAGTCTTCTACTTAGAAAAAGGAAAGCCCCGCAAATTAAGGAAAGCGAAAAACATCTGCGGCGAAGTCCATGGTGCCACAGCTTGCACTTGAATGGATATCATTTGGGAAAAGGTCACTGCTGGAGTTTGTCACACTCTTGATGTAACTCCCCAACAAAAATATAGCCTTGGTCATGGTTATCGAAATCAGTGCATGTCCAGGCATGCATGCATGCACACGCGCGTGCGTGCACACACACACACACACACACACACACGGTCTTGGTTGCGCTCACCTTCCCCTCCTTAGGTATTTCTAGAACTTAGAACCTTCCAAGTTGGAAAGCTGTTGGATGGCGTATTCAAGATGTGCTAGAGCTGTTAGCCAGTTAGTTGTAGAACGTCAGTACCGTCGGTCAGTGTCGTGCAATGTTATCGCATGAGCTGATGGTGAAGTAACATGTTGGTGTTAGTGGACATCAGGGACCTTTCGCACCCCGCGTACGGATACGAAACGAATGCTGATTCGTCACCTGGGTTCGAGGATTCGTCAGAGTCCCTGCGGAGAACTCGTTTTCACGAATGGAAGCCTCTTCATTCGTGGCACGCTCCGAATCCGTCACATTTATTTGATAGGTACACATGTTTTGCAAGGTACACATTTTTCCCTTGATTCCATGATCCATGCACGTGTGCGTGTAAAAACTCGCACGCCAAGCTACCGGCGCCCGCGGCCGTATTCGTAGTTGCCATGCACATTTGCATGACGACTTGCGAAACCTGAAATCTGTTTTCAACGAAACGATTACGAGCCGAATCAAACTTTCGTTTCGCATTCACTAGTAGGACCCTTCTTCACTATGAAAATAAATAATACTGAGGTGGTGACAAAGATAGGTGGAAAAGTAGACGCATGACGTGTAAACTAGCGCAACCTATTCCTGTGTACCTCTCCTTCTCATTGTGACATGCACGCACGCACGCACCCACATACATACACACATTGTCATTAGGTTTAGGCCTGTTTTGGAACTCCACTTTAAATAAAGCCAAACAACAACAACAACAACCTCAGACATGCCCATCGCGGAAGCGATGATAGCGAACAGCTATGTTAGACATAGCAACAAGGGTGGGATTACACCATTCAATAGCTTGCAAGGCTGATGAATTGACCGCCACTAATCGTTAGCCCGGTATCCACCACACAGCTGATTGAAGTGACAGTTTGTGGTCAGTGAATCCCTATTTTCATTTTTCATTTTTTTCTTCACACGCACACACACACACACACACGGCTAACAGGCCACGTTTTAGCACTCTACAGCCGCAAAGGAGGGTTCCCCTAGCACTTATTAGACAACCCCACTCCAGCTCCAAAAAATACTTCTCATGGATTTTTCGGTATTGTCTGTACGGCAGGGAGTTGTATATACGACTCCCTGGTCTGTACATCGTACTGCGTAGGTAGCCAAAGCAAAAAGGAAGCCATTGCCCTTGAAAAATCACGAAATCCAGAGTACAAACCTGCTGCTGCATGTTCTAGCGCCAGCCGCTGTGTAAAACGTATGTCATGTCCTGCGAAAGTGCGCCGCGCCGTGTGCACTTAGGCTGTGTTCACATGAGAAATTTCAACCCGGGTCGAGTTCAGCCCGGGTTGAAAGTCTGTACGATAGACAAAAGAGGTGAGCGTTTACATGAAGACAGTTGACCCGGGTCAAATACTGATATGCCGCCAAAAGTCCACTTCTACAGTCCTGTATGGTCACGTGAATCCGTTCGCGCGAAATTTGCATCTGCAGTGCCGTTCAAACCTGGCGCGAGATACGCACAGAAGTACGTTTGTACGATTTTCTTGACCCGGGTTGGTTTCAACCCTCCCCCCAATGAAATCAACCCGGGGCGAAATTTCAACCCGGGTCAAGCGCAATGCGTCATGTAAACGCGCCATTCATTTTGTGTGCATGGCGGGTTGAAATCTGACCCGGGTCGAACTCAACCCGGGTTGAAACGCTTCATGTAAACACAGCCTATATATATAGCTGTGTTCACAACTGGCGCGTGTACGCTTGAAACCACGCGTTCATGCGTATTTTTGCTGGCTTTTGGGGCGCCATGCGTACGGAAACGCGCCGAAATGGAAATTCCAACATGTTGGAATTTTCAGCACGTATCAGGCGCGTACCAGCGTACATGCCAGCCACTTTGATTGGCGGGGTCAAAAAATTAGTACTCGAAGGTGTCGCACGCGCTAAACAAGACTCGGATTGCTGTTTTTTGTGAAAGCTTGGGCGCGCGTATAGGCACGCATGAACCGCAAGCGTACCGCGTTAAGTACCGCCAGAGCGCCCTGCCTTGATTTTACAGCCAGAGGAAGGAAAATCGTATGGCAGAGTGCAACGAAGTTTGTAAGATGTAAGACTCTTCGTGTACTAAGGTCACACTTTGCAGGTTTTCTGTGGAGCTTGTGTCCGCTCGAAGGTACGGATTGACTGCAAAATGTGCAATATGTGTACAAGGTTCATGTCGTATGACCTACAGACAGCAGACCACCTCCACAATACGACCACGACAGGATGAGATGGTGCTTGGTGGGGCGCTGTGGCGGTACTTCACGGTAGTTGTTTTTAGAGAGAGAAGAAGATCCTTTTTTAATTTTGTTCGGTGGGATTAAAAGATCTGCTAGTGGACCAGAGAGCTACAACTCTGGAAGCAGAAGAAAGGGCTTGCGGAATCTTCTCTGTTTTAGTGGCAACGGGACTTTAGTCACAGTTGCGAGAGACTTTCGTCCTGTCGTCGCAGACGCAATTCTTGTTGCTGCTACCAGAAAGCTTGGAGAACGAAACGATCGTAAGTCGTTTGGTGAAGCGGGTTGTGTCGGTGAACAACTGCAGAATGTTCTGCCGCCATGGAGTAGCAGTCCAAACACTTTTCAACTTCGGAGGATGAAGCGTTTCCCTATTCCGTTGACAAGGGCGGCGTTCGCGGGTGTAATGCATTTTTGCATCAGCTTGCAGTAGATCGTCAGGAGCCAGAGGTAGATCTACCAGGTAGGTGTCGTTGTGGAAAGAATATTATTATGTTGTAGCTGACAAGTGACATGCCTGTAGTGTCTCTTGACCGTGCTGATCGCCATTGTAACATGGTACGTCTTGGAAAATTTTAGTTCTGGACCCAGTGATCGCCTCCTTCGGTGTTTCCGTCAAGTTTGCAGTGAATGCGTCCGTGAGGAATCCATCGTCTTGTTGTATCTACCCATGACTCCAACCGCCTATCACAATGGATAGCCGCCTGGAGTCTTGGGCGATAGCTAGCTGCTAGGCATCAAGTCTGAACCAAATAAACAAACAAACCAAGTCTGAACCAAATAATTGTACGCTCCTTGCAATGAAAGCTGCGATGTTTTGTACAAGTCCGAAGTTCCTTGATTTTTTATTGCTTTTTTGGATGAATTGGGTGGACCATCCTGAACGAAAAGTGGTACGACCATGGTCGTAGTGATCGTATTATGTGTGACGCCCCTGCACACACACACCTTGATCTTGAAATGTGAGAAATACGGTAAAGCAAAATCGAAGAAGAAAACACATGGAAACGAGTAATGAAGCAACTATCCACGAATGTAACAAGATAATAAATGGTCAGTATGTTCGCACGTACTGACCGCTTAGGGGGGGGGGGGGGGCCCTTTAAACTCACCATAACCTTTTAGAAGTAATGCCCAATTTTCTTCAGTTGTAGGTCGAGCTGAAATGCACAGGATATAAAAATGACAATATCACTGCATACCCCATGTTCCCTAGTTAACTAGAGTCTTAATTAGTAATTACCGTAAAGTACCGCCAGAGCGCCCCACCATCTCATCCTTTCGTGGTCGTATTGTGGAGGTGGTCTGCTGTCTGTAGGTCATACGACATGAACCTTGTACACATATAGCACGTTTTGCAGTCAATCTGTACCTTCGAGCGGACACAAGCTCCACACAAAACCTGCCAAGTGTGACCTTAGTACACTAAGATTCTTACATCGTACAAACTTCGTTGCACTCTGCCATACGATTTTCCTTTCTCTGGCTGTAAAATCAAGGTGGGGCGCTCTCGCGAGACGGGGCGCTCTGGCGGTACGTTACGGTACTACAGGAGAGTGTCTGGCAGTATTTAAAACATCGAATGGAATACCAGGACTAAGAGTGGTGGCTCTTAAAATACAAAGATGCTGAAATTCGATTCACGTCCACAGAATAGAGGTGCTTCTGATATATCACCGCCGAGGAAGATTCGGCCAGTGAGTCCGGCGAGTGTGAGAGTGAAAGCAATTGTACGAGGAAGAGTGAGCGGGGACATGTGTTTGGTACAGTCAGACCTCGCTAATCCGGATCCCTCGCCATCCGGAAGAAAATTGTTGGTTACCGATTTACCGCATTTGCCATGCATACATACAGTATGTGTGTTCGATTATCCGGTTCCCTCGCCTATCCGGATATTTTTGTGGAAAACGGATGTGTGCGTTTATGCGAGGTCTGACTGTAGTAGGAATCCATCTGTTACTCAGAATTAGGCACTAGCTGGGCTATTTGAAAAAATAATTTTAACTATCCGCCTCTCTCTAAACTGCGCTCTTGGCTCACATTCACCAAACCATAGCGAGAAAGGTCGTTCTTGGAGAGATGCTCCATATCCCCTTGAGAGCAGTTGGCAAAATTACAGTACTGTATGTCCTGCAATCTATGCCTATACCATGTGTACGGCCTCTAATGAGCATGGCAGTAGATCTTGGAAGGCCAAGTCCGCAGATTGAATCATACATGTAGGTGCTATAGGCTTGAAAAGCGAAAGAGATTATCAGCTGCCTGATTCTCTTTGTTGTCCTTCGTTGGTTGTTTCGCTTTTCCCTATTTGCATCCTCAAAATTATCTTTCGTGGCTGGCGATTCATCTGCATCACATGGATTTATGCATAGCTACAGGAATAAAAAATAAAATAAAATACATCCTGTCCGCCCCGATATTTCGGTGACAGCTCTACCTGCACTACTATTAGAGACTGTGCTAGTATTGGAGAGTGTGCATTTATTTTTAAATTCTCCACTATCAAGCCAAATTTAGTCTATATAGTAGGCTCCCGCGGATTATGCTCGCGATATAATGGAATTATGCTTTCATGGATTCTCGCATCCAATATTAATACAAACACCAAATTAAAGCTGTGTGGACCCTGGCTAGCGCCAGACGTTACTGAAGTAACGTCTTCTGCATAGCTACGGGAATAAACGGTCAATACGTTCGCACGTACTGACCGCTTAGGGGTAGCCCCTTTAAACTCACGTGTTGCTCGTTCCGGTGTTTTTAGACCTGAAATGCACAGGATATAAAAATGACAATATCACTGCATACCCCATGTTCCCTAGTTAACTAGAGTCTTTTAATAACTACAGGAGAGTGCCTGGCAGTATTTAAAACATCGAATGGAATACCAGCACTCAAGAGTGGTGGCTCTTAAAATACAAAAATGCTGAAATTCGATTCACGTCAACAGAATAACAGTTAGAGGTGCTTCTGATATATCACCGTCGAGGAAGATTCGACCAGTGAGTCCGGTGAGTGTGAGAGTGAAAGCAATTGTGTGAGTAAGAGTGAGCGCGGGCATGTGTTTGGATCTCCAGAGATACTGTAATTTCACAAATTTTCGGTGTACTTTTATTTTCGGTACTTTCGGTGCGTTTGTTTCATACCTAAAATTTCAACACACCGAACAAACACTAACACACGTAATCCAATAGGGAACTGATTCTCTGTACCGAAAAATTCTGTTCACCTAACCTAGCCTGTTGCACTCAGACCGAAAATATTGAGCACCCAAAATTTCTGAAATTAGAGTACTCCGCTGCCTGCCACAGTCCGCAGCAAGAAGTGCCAGGTGAAAGTGTCGATGTTTCGCTCACGCGAGAGGCAAGTTCCATGCTGCGCCAGCTCTCGGATTCAGGTGACACACGGATCAACTCGGTTTTATATGGATTTATTTTGAAAGATATTGAGCTCAGCTTTCCAGCGATATAAAGTTCTTTGCGATAGGAGAAAGATTGACGGAGAGGCGACGAAGTGAACACGAAATTCACGGCACTGAGCGATTGTGAATTTTTTTCATGGGTTTACAGTTTTCGGTTGCGTGCCAGGGGATTTCCCTTTGGCACAGCGCATGCGTAATGGACACCAGCGGAAGCACGTGGATCTCAGCTTTGCAGTGCAGTTTGAATCATGAAATTCGGCTGACCTGGAGCAAGAAACCGAAAAAGAATGTGAGATCGTGTTCCTGTGCCTTCCGAGGCATCATGATGTAGTAGGTTCAAGAGGACGTCACTGAGAAGTTGCACCGCTGTGCATACTGAGTTGAGAGCCACCAGGATGGATTCGCTTGATCCTGATCTTTCTAACAAGCCCAGGATGAGGAAAATCCATCAAGATAAACTGAATAGGAAGAAAAATTGTTCGGACTTGTGAGCGAAAACGACACCAGGAGAGCCAGTGCGCTGGAAAGTCAGTTTGCTGGAGTAAAAGGCATTCTTCTTGGTGGCTTCACTATAATTTTGTCATCGTCACCTTTCTAGTTTATCCTCCAGGCACTTGGGACGTCCAGGTAGACGTTGTCAGTCGCCATGGAGGCGTTTGCGCTCTGGACAACTCAAGCGCTCCAAAGAGAGCGAAACAAAGAATTTCTTCGCGGAACGATCCCGTCACAAATTCTTGAGGGAGCGTCAGAGGCTAGAATATTAATTTTGGCAGCAGGTTCTCATTTTATTCTCCCCCCCCCCCTGCATAGACGTGACATAACTGGCATTATTTTTTGGCACTACACATTGGCTATAGAGTAGTACTAGTTCCACAAAACCTCGCCCACGGGGTGCCCGGCCCGGTAGACCGAGGTGCGGGTAACTTCGGGGTCCGGAGAAGACTCGGAGGTACGAGTGCATGTGCTGTGCAAGCTTATTTGGCTAGACATCATGTAAACACTTTATATTTTGCATCTGATTTTGCATCTGATAAACTCGCGGAAGCAAAATTCTCCGAAGCATCAAAGTTAATTATGATAATGTGCATGGAATATTCGCATCTATGATGTATTTATCACGATCGTCTTTTTAAACTCACCCAAAGCACTTAGAAGTGGTTCGAAAACATCTGCAGTTGATGCTCCAGCTGAAATGCACAGGACATAAAAATGACAATATCACTGCATACCCCCATGTTCCCTAGTTAACTAGAGCCTTACCGTATAGGCGTGAATAGAAGCCGCGGGGCTCTATTCTTCCAGAAGACACATCGAGGGGGGTTATATTTGAGAGAGGGCTTTATTTTTTCTATAGAAACGCCAATTGTTTCACACTATTCATGTTGATCACTACATGCAGTGACTACACTCGATCGTTGTACGGTAAAGTACCGGGAACTGCACTGCGTGGTACCGACATTGCGTACTCCATTATAGCCCCGGGCTTTTATACGAGACGGGGCTTTATTATTCCGATTCCGTCTGACACACGGCCTCTATTTGGGAGGGGGCTGTATTCGAAGTGGGGCTTATATTCGAGCGCGTACGGTAATTACTACAGGAGATTGTCTGGCAGTATTTAAAACATCGAATGGCCCGGGAATACCAGGACTCAATACAAAAATGCTGAAATGATTCACGTCGACAGAATAGAGGTGCTTCTGATATATCACTGTCGAGGAAGATTCGGCCAGTGAGTCCGGCGAGTGTGAGAGTGAAAGCAATTGTGTGAGGAAGAGTGAGCGTGAGCATGTGTTTGGTACAGTCAGACCTCGCTTATCTGGTCCTCTTTTATCCGGATCCCTCGCCATCCGGAAGAAAATTGTTGGTTACCGATTTACAGCATTTGCCATGCATACACACAGTATGTGTGTTCGATTATCCGGTTCTCTCGCCTATCCGGATATTTTTGTGGAAAACGGATGTGTGCGGTTAAGCGAGGTCTGACTGTAGTAGGAATCCATCTGTTACTCAGAATTAGGCACTAGCTGGGCTATTTGAAAAAATAATTTTAACTATCTGCCTCTCTAAACTGCGCTCTTGGCTCACATTCACCATAGCATAGCGAGAAAGGTCGTTCTTGGAGAGATGCTCCATATCCCCGTGAGAGCTCCTCAGTGGAGGTAGATATATCAAATCATTAGCAGATAACGGAATTGTAACATGAAAAAAATGTGGGTACAAGTTATGCCATATGCTGTTGTCCTGCTAGAGATGTCGAACTGTGCTTCCAGGTATGAAGCTTTCCACTGCCTCGACCACTTCCCCATTGCAGCTGAAAGAATCTCCCGTATCATCATTGACCACCATAAGGCCAAGTAAACAAACTTGATTGTTTATCGTCCGCGCTCGTCCCGATTTTTCGCCCTCCCGGCCGAATTATTTTATTTTTTAGTTCCGGTAAATAATGTCCGCGCTGCGTGCTCAGAGCGCTGTTGTATTTCTCTTCTTCTGTTAGTTCTTTCTCTTCTGTCTGTCAGCGCTTACTGTCACCCAGCGCTGGGTGCAAGCACCCCCTGGCAGATTCATACTACATTGTTTTACTTGATAAATTTATTGTTCTCTCAAACTTATTCCTTCGTTGTGTTCAAACTGTTTTTGAATTATTTTCGTTTCTTTCTTGCCATGTGCCAGCTGCCAAAGTGTACAGTCGCAGCAGCGCCATTTTATGTCATCATTGATCATGTGATCACGCGCGATCGTTGCTAGCGCTAGATCCGGGGATCTGGTAGTGGTACGCATGCATACGTGTTGCGTGACTTGCCTGCGATAGTTTTCTGTGATCTGCTGTTTGCACTGGAATCGCACTTGTACTTTGACCTCTTCACACTTCTCTTTTTGGCAATGCGTGTCGTGAACTTCTCCGCGAACGTTTTCGCTGATGCCGCTCGGGGTTCTCACGCATGGTGCGGCGCAGCACGGAATTTTGCGCTTGTTTTTTTTCTTGTATCCTTTTCTGGTTTCCTAGCACCTTTTCGGGACTGTTCCTCTGGACAAGAGGTAGCCTTGTCTTGGTGGCTTTCTTGTAAATGGTAGAGTTTTTTTTCTTTGGTGCTCATAGAGTTTGCTTCATCTCTCTTGTATTATTATCAAATTTACACTATCGTCATACACTAGGCACAGTTTTGGAGTGTTGGGCGAAATCACAGTACTGTATGTACTACGATCTTGCACAATGGCAGCGGACCGACAGGCATGGTGTGGAGCCCGCCCCACCTAACAGGACTGATTCTCGTGACCCACGTGATTCCGCCAGACATGTTGTATGCATATTCTATGTTATTTTATACTCTTGATGAAGTTTTCCATTTGTCCTATTGGTATTGTTGCTAACGGCTTTTGTTGACGTCACTTCTGTCATTTCATTGTATCGTATTACTCTTCAGACATCTATCCTGAATGGCATAAGCAAAAGTGGTACCCCCGCCGCCTACGCGGACATGCTTTTAATAATAATAATAATAATAATACTCAAGTAATAATCAAAAGGGTTTGCTCCCCACACCGGAGCTGGTGCTCTTCAGGCACAATCTTCCTCAGCCTACTCAAGCTCAACTGATGAGGGGTGAATTCCCCGAAACACTGTGTATTGAGCAGGGAGTGGTGCTTTCTTGCAGGTTTGCCGAGTCGAAGGTTCGATGGACTTCTCGTGTGCTCTGGATGGCAGTCGTGAGTCAGTCAAGTGTCAAGTCGGCGGAATAGCGCGAGCTCCGGTGTGGGGAGCAAACCCTTTCTTACAAGTCATCGCCGAAGTCACAACCACTACTTAATAATAATAATCAACGCAATAAATAGAGTAAGCTGCGCACTCAGTACAAACACCATTAGCAAAACTTGTTTTCATGTAAATAACGAAGCTTGTTCCTAAACGTTTTCGTCGCCATCTCATCAGAGGATTACTGGCAAATCAACATTAGCTCTAAACTCAATATATATACGCACAATGCAAGTACTAATTTAGACCCTAACTAGCGCGGGAAAATGAGAGCTGAAAGAAACATTACATCAATCAAGGATATCAGGTGACAACAGATGCGATAAATTCACCACTAGAAAGTAACCATGCAACCACAAACGAGAACTACTGATCTAAATTCACAAACAATTTCAACGTAAACAAATTCTTTTTCTGCCTACACAAAATCGGCTTGGTGGTAAAAATGTAGATAGACACGCAGATACCTTTGACTACGTGAACGAGACCAAACAGAAAAGCAATCATCAGTATAACTAGAACGACAATCACTATTCTGAACAAGATGGTTAGCAACAGAAGATTCATACACCCTAACATCACTACTAGAACCAGTACATACTTTGGAATTACGTGACAATGAAACCGACAAAGGGAGCATCATCGCAACAGGCGGTGCCAGTAACGGACGTGCCTTTGGTACTGACATCTACATCGGCCTCGTCTGGATTGGCAGTAGCGGCAAGGAATGTCAGGTCGGTTTCATTGCCACGTAATTCCAAAGTATGTACTGGTTCTAGTAGTGGTGTTAGGGTGTATGAATCGGTCTCCTGCAGCATAGCTACGGGAATAAACGGTCAATACGTTCGCACGTACTGACCGCTTAGGGGGAGCCCCTTTAAACTCACCCCGAATACGATCTCCTGCCACTTCTAGTGCCGATGGTTGTGGAGCTGAAATGCACAGGATATAAAATGACAATATCACTGCATACCCCATGTTCCCTAGTTAACTAGAGTCTTAATAACTACAGGAGAGTGTCTGGCAGTATTTAAAACATCGAATGTAATGCCAGTCGAGGAAGATTCGACCAGTGAGTCCGGTGAGTGTGAGAGTGAAAGCAATTGTGAGAGTAGGAGTGAGCGCGGGCATGTGTTTGGCTCTCCAGAGATACTCCGCTGCCTGCCACAGTCCGCAGCAAGAAGTGCCAGGTGAAAGTGTCGATGTTTCGCTCACGCGAGAATGTTATAAAATTTTTCATTTCTCCTATTTTTTCAAGACATAAGGCCACACTTTTTTTTTCGATGTTTCTCGTCACCGCGCGCGTAGGTTTTCAGAAATCTCAGAAGAAAAAAAAAGTTCATACATGTACATATACATGCTGCAGCAGCTAGATGCGTCAATCAAAAGCGTAAGCTTTTGCACCACAGCAGCAAAGGAGTGCTACCCGTGCGTTGTCTGCGATGAAGGCTGCCGCAACGAAGCTTTCAGTCTTCCACTGCCCGAGCATCGGGGGTCCCAGGAATACCGCAAATCGGACAAGTTCTGTGGCAACTGGCGTCTGCGGAATGACGTCGTGGGGATCATACGCGAGCAGAAAAACTGAACAATGGACACATGGCGAGGAAATGTTGACAGGCGTGGAGACAAGAGTTTTACTAATGCGATCAAAAGTATTAATAACGAAGCGGACATAAGAACGTTGAAGTAACGAAATAGAAAAGACGAGTGGGAAAGTGTTTGTCAATGTAATACTAATAGCAGGTACATGCACAATGTCATGTATGTTCTCTTCGCCATCTCGCCATCAAATTTTATACTCGCATTATTGTTGCACTTTGCCTACTCCTTCGTGGACTGGTACATGGTACGATAATAGTACAGTCGTCCCTCTCTAATCCGGCACTTTATAATCCAGCACCCTCGATAAACCAGCACAATTTTCAGTAGCCAAAATGTCCTCTTCATGCACATTGCAGCAGTAAATCAGATTTGTTAATCCAGCACCCTCCCTAATCCAGCAGATTTTCGTGGCACAAATGGTGCCGGATTAGAGAGGGACCACTGTACAATCATGTACTATGGGACTAGTATAGGCAGTGTCTTGTATGAATCACACAAACTGTGTACAGTTTTCAGTAGAAATTGTTCTCGTTTTTTTATTGGCTTTTGTTTTTTTCCGCCCGCCCGCATACCTTTTGTTAAAATTTGCCGACGAGAAACATAGAAAAAACAAAGTGTGGCCTAACCTGGGATTCGAACCCGCACTATCGCCCTGCATGCATCCCCCGATACACTTCGCATACATACTCATTCTTCCAAGTGGCTTCACGTTATGATCTTGCATTTGAAAGCCCTATTTGAATATTGTGGCCAGCTGCTTGTGGCCGGCTGTCTTTGATGGTACAGTACGGTACGGGACAGATACGGGATAGCGCCAGACGGAGGTCCGTCTGCCACAAACACCAAATTAAAGCTGTGTTGACCCTAGCTAGCGCCAGACGTTACTGAAGTAACGTCTTCTGCATAGCTACGGGAATAAACGGTCAATACATCCGCACGTACTGACCGCTTAGGGGGAGCCCCTTTAAACTCACCCAAAACACGATCTGCTGTCAATTTTAGTGCTGGTTGCGGAGCTGAAATGCACAGGATATAAAATGACAATATCACTGCATACCCCATATTCCCTAGTTAACTAGAGTCTTAATAATTACAGGAGAGTGTCTGGCAGTATTTAAAACATCGAATGGAATACCAGCACTCAAGAGTGGTGGCTCTTAAAATACAAAAATGCTGAAATTCGATTCACGTCAACAGAATAACAGTTAAAGGTGCTTCTGATATATCACCGGAGACATTTTGTTGAGCAGCACGGTACTACAGTCCATTCATAAGAAAACCTGCTAGCTTTTGGCCATGAATGGGTTAAGTTTTAGGTGTTTTTTTCACAATTTGTTTTGGCAATCCCCCATGGAATGCTCGGCTAATTCTGTCTCTGAAGTAAATTTTGACAAAAAGCAAACCATAGCAAGTATAGGATTTCAGCCAAAGCACCAAAGCACTGAATTGGGGACAAAACCATGAAAATCCAGGCCATTCACTCCACTTTCATAACAGTACATTGTGCGGTTCGAACTCCAGTTGAACTTCGGCATCTTTTTGTAATCCTTGCTAAAGTTTCAAATCTTGCGGCAGTGCACCATGTTCGAAGACATCAAGAAAAATCACCAAATGCTGGAACTCGCCAGAGCCAGCTCTCATCTTTTTCTGAATTGACGGTACAGTACTATACATGTAGTAGTAAAATCTAAGATCAAGTGATATTCATTAATTCCTTATCCATTATTCCCTTGTCCATGCCCATGTCCATGGTTGGAAATCGAACCATGGACGCCAATAATTATACCGTATTTCCCAGAATGTAAGTCGCAACTTTTTAGCCTATACGTTAAAAACAAAGAAGGGGTGCGGCTTACAATCGAGTTTGACTTCCTGGTCATGTGAAAATATTCATACAATTTGGTTCAGACCTAAAAATGGGTTGCGACTTATTATCAAGTGTGACTTATAATCAGAGAAGATACACGCGGTGAGCGTGGATTTGCCTGTCGTGTGGATACCCTACATAAGGTCTCATCAGGGAAATTTGAGAATAATGAATGGCTGGAAATAATTTGAAAACTGTGCTTTCAAGACCTGGAGGACATTCCTTTCCTATTCCATACACACCCAACCACACAAACATAAGAATGCACACAAGCACACAATTCATATCAGCACACTATCGGCCAAACCTATACAAAACTTTTCTTGTTGTCTAATGATCACCATTCATCGTGAAACTAAACAATACTGACCTGAGCCATAAAGAGCCACATGGCACCCGTCTTGGGTGCGCAAACCAACAGCTTTCCAACTTGGAATATTTTAATACACTCAAGGTGCACGAGGAGCGTGCACGCGTAAATCAGCCTTTAAATTTATAAAAAAATGTTGCTCTCTACCCCTGTTTCAATGCACCTAGCTGATCTCTACACTTGCAAGCTGGAAAGAAAACATACTGGTGTTCCTGTTCAACCCGTCCATGAGCGCAGATAGTGAGACACTCGAAGGGGAACACAGCTGCATCCATTTCGGCAATGCATGTGTGACTCTGCGTCCAGTAACTTTTATACGCACCAAGGTCACAGAACAACAAGGACAGTCAAAGCTTGTTTGCGGCTACTTCAAGTTTCATGCTCTCGCAATCATCAGGCAACAAGAGGATGGGATGCCGACCATGCCGGTATATATGCCAGGAGAGGGTAGGTCGTGTAGCGCCGTATGAAAAGCTGTGTGAGAATGTGGGGGCTGCATAGGTTTCAGGGCTAGCGGTGTTATTTCAGGCAGGAGGCTGTGTATCCTCCACAGTTACATATGCATTGCCACATTGGACCTCGCATTAGACAGTGCTATCTTGACTGAATATCACATTATATTCTCACCAGTGTATCTATCTATCCTTTACATGATATTCTCACCAGTGTATCTATCTATCCGTTACATTATATTCTCACCAGTGTATCTATCTATCCTTTACATTATATTCTCACCAGTGTATCTATCTATCCTTTAACAGTATAAGGATTATATGCTTTAAACTAGTATTCGAAATTACTGTATGTGATACTTTCTCACTTGTTCACTTGTTCAAGTCTTGTTCATTTTGTCGCTCCAAGTGTAGAAATGCTAGTACTGTTTTATAAGAAGAAATGAGCAACAAGAACTACCAGTTACGCTATACTGTCCACTAACACCACCAGTTACTTTACAATCAGCTCATGCGATAACATTGCACGACACTGACCAACGGTACTGACGTTCTACACCTAACCGGCAATCAGCTGCAGCACATCTTGGATGAGCACTCTAAAAACCTTCCAGCTTGGCATTTTCCCAGTTAGAAATAACATGGAGTTCCTTGGTCTTCATTTCTTCTTATAAATTTATCCTTGGCTCTCCACCCGAGCCTGATTACTGTTTTTGATATTATTTCAGTCATAACCTTCCATTGATAAATCGTGACAAAAAAAACGATCCTGAACACTCTTATTCGTTGCTCTGATTGTAATACGAGGACACACATGGTTTTATTCATTGCCTTTTTCCTACTTATATTCTTGTTTACCTCCAAGGGGACAAAATCTATTACTGTTTCATTATTCCGTTCACTCGCGAGATTCCATTGAGCATTGTGACGAGAAAACCTTTTGAAAATGTACATTCGTTTGCATGTTTGTGATACAAATGGGCACACAGCTCTATTGCAATAAAATGGATTTCAATTGGAGATTAACACAGCATGCACGTCTTATTTACCGGCTGCAGATCCGCTGGTCACCGTCAGCAAGAGAATTGCTCCTAGAGCAAACTTAATCTGTGGCAACAAGAAATGCATATTCACCCACACAGTCACACATGCACGCACACACACACCGTAAACGACACTACTACTATGTACAACTGCCACAAAATGGCCGCGTCGCTACCAGAAGCGGGAGACAACAGCGAGAAAGGAAAAGAAACAAGGAGAGTACTTGAGGTGAAAGGGGACCGTTCTACACACAGCTAGTGTTTCCGTAAACGACACACACACACACACACACAATGGTACCCCTCTGCAATATGTGTCAAATGCTAAGTGCCTAGGAATTCAGCTCGACGAACGTCTTCGCCGGGGCCATCAGATTGCAATGGTGATGAAAAAGGTGTCACAGAAACTGCGAGTTCTTCGCCATATTCGGGGACGCCAGAACATCGATGCTCTAATTCTGCCTGATGCTCTGTATGCAACTAATGCCTTTTCTCCCGGGTCTGTCGGACGAAAAGCGGCAAGTTTTACTGAGACTGGATTAGAGGTGTATCCGGGGCTTCACCAGCCAACCTCCACTGGCGTACACAATGCAGCAGAACAGATCCAACAGACTACCGTCCCTTCTCACGCGGCCAAGTCAATAATTCTCTTTCTTTAACCATTGTGCAAACTCAAGCTGGATACAAATCTATATCATTCCTTGGTGCTGACCGCTTTAATGCGCTTCCCGAATCCCTTCGCACAATTCATATCTCCAATTCATTACCCCAGGAACTTAACACATTCATTCGTCTTGGGCACCCTGTAAGAAGACCTTAGGGTCCGTCGGGAATGCCCAAGTAAAATAATAAAATACTATACAAAAAATTGAGCCGCTCGCCAATTCGCCCTCCGTGTTCCGCTGCCTTCAAACTCTCCTTTGTTCACTCCTCTGGGATATGTTTTCCCTTCGCCGTGACTCACACAGATACAGTCACCCCAGGCCTAGTCACTAATTCCCTTTCTTTTACCACTATGCACCCCTAAGCTGGATTCGACCCACACATACACCTTACACCCTGTAAGAAGTAACGTCCTTTGCATAGCTATGGGGAATTTAAAAAAAACCCGGATACAATACAATACCCAAGCCGGTCTCTAAACCTCTCCCCCTCTTCAGAGTGCTTCCAAGTACACAGGTTACTGGTCGGAGGAAAGGATTTAGAAACAAACTCCAACTCGTCCAGACCTTCCTTATGCACTTCTTCCTCTTGTTTTGAAAACAACAACCCCTTCACACATTACACATTACTTGCAGAAAGAGGTACTAGGACGCCAAATCTCTTACCATTTCCATCGCTATGAAACAGAGCTTGCAAAGAGTAACTCCGTAAGGCTGCCCACAGCAGGTAAAGTACAAAGAGCTTAGACGACTGGCAACAGCAAACGACTTCTCTGCAAGAAAAGAAGATAACGAAAGTCCAAGAAGAAGGTGAAGAAGGATGTGTGCGCAATAATGGCCGCCATGCGGGCCACACCCGTGACTCTGACACAGCTCGTGAGGTCAACACTCGATTCCGAAATTTGCTTGCATCCTAACAGCAGAACTTGCCAAGTCAGACCATCACAAACAGAGACTAGTATATTGATTATTGTGTAATATAGTAAAATCACTACTGACTGACGATTTACATTTTTAAAGTGGTCACCACGGGCAGTCGTGATTCGTCTTCGCGGGACTCCTAAATCAGTCAAACCCGAGGCCTCGCAATCATTCAAGTGTGTGTGTGTGTGTGTGTGTGTGTGTGTGTGTGTGTGTGTGTGTGTGTGTGTGTGTGTGTGTGTGTGTGTGTGTGTGTGTGTGTGTGTGTGTGTGTGTGTGTGTGTGTGTGAGAGAAAGAGAGAGTGGGAGAGAGAGAAAGAGAGAGAGAGAGAGAGAGAGAGAGAGAGAGAGAGAGAGAGAGAGAGAGAGAGAGAGAGAGAGAGAGAGAGGGAGAGAGGGAGAGAGAAAGAGAAAGAGAAAGAGAGAGAGAAAGAGAAAGAGAGAGAGAGGGAGAGAGAAAGAGAAAGAGAAAGAGAGAGAAAGAGAAAGAGAGAGAAAGAGAAAGAGAGAGAAAGAGAGAGAAAGAGGAAGAGAGAGAAAGAGAAAGAGAAAGAGAAAGAGAGAGAAAGAGAAAGAGAAAGAGAAAGAGAGAGAAAGAGAGAGAGAGAGAGAGAGAGAGAGAGAGAGAGAGAGAGAGAGAGAGAGAGAGAGAGAAGCTTGTCATATAGGGCTTGTGATAAGCAATGAATATATGCAGTGCTGCCAAACTCAAATGTGGACTGAATGATCGATAAATAGAAAAATCGTTTGCCAAAAATGCTGATATTCTGCTTTGCATGGACAAATGCTCCGACCTTCCTATTGACATTTGCACATACTGCATCCACTTGGGTTGAGAAAGACAGATGTTCGTCAACCAGTATTCCTAAGTACCGAGCACTGTACTTGAAGAGAATGACAAGAGAGATGTGTTGCTTTCTATACTGCAAAGACTCTAGAAAACATAGCTTATTTTAAAAGGTTTTCCTTCGTTTCATTTGTATCAAACTGAACCGCTTTCTTCCGGAAAAAGGCAAGACATATAGTTTAGCCTGCGGAACATCCAATGCTGAAGTTGCTGTGCAGTCATGCGGCAGTAGGGAGGTTTAGTTCCCACGTAACGGAAACGCGTACGTGGGTGATCCACGTAAAGTGGATGAAGGGCACCCACGTTGCAATGTTGTGTTTAGTCACACGGAACAAACAAAAGCTTGAAGTTGAAGCGAAAGGCCCAAACCTGGTCAAAGACGAAGCCACCCGGGCCTAAGAAGCTCATCCAATATTTTGATTTCGGGCTTCGGAAACTTCTTCAGCTGAGCACCCTCACAGCTCGCACAATGCACTCCATTCTGATTTTCACCCTGGGTGAGGTTCTATACACGGCATGTCGTGAATCAGAAAACGTCTGTACGTGGGTCACTGAGTATCACGTGGTACACACACGTAAAGTACCCACGGATTACGTGGGACTAAACCTCCCTAGTGCCAGACCGCTACACACATTTACTGTCTGGCAGGTAAATTTGCAAAGGGCAATAAACAAGTCAAACGACAATTACCACTGTAGTGATCGTATACTCAACACGCCTACCAGGAATTGGACTAAACGAAGGGTGCTCAACCCAGCTGGACACAGTTACATTATACTTGAACTTGATACAGGAGGGGGGAGGAGGAAGTTGAGGTTGCGGTAGCTGGTAACCAGCTACCGAAACCTCACAGGTAACGTTCGGCGTTCTAGAACGTAACGCTCTGAGTTGAAGCCGTTCTTCCCGACTCCCCAGTTTGGATGATCCTACAAATCCTCGTGCAGTTTGCCGCCAACAGACTGTCCCTTTCCGATACGCACACACAACCGAGGAATTGCAATGGCTGGAAGGAAACCAAAAGAACGCCTCGCCTAACTCTGTCCACATAACCAATGCCGTTGGCCAACGGTTCGAAACGCGGCTACCAACTACGTTCAGTACAAACCGCATTCATACCGGCAACCACGCAACAGTGCCGTACGACGATACTTCGAGGGAACCAAAGAAAAGCGCCCCGGCGCACATACAGTAACTCGAAGAACAGTGTGTTTCTCTATTTGGAATGCGCAAGGAGACGCCTGACAAGGTAACGCCTGACAAGGAGACGCCTGACAACAAGAACAATCCTACTCACAACTCACCTTCAAAGACAGTTCCACAAACTCTTGTTCGCCGATATTCAAGGAGAGCAACACAAGGCAACCTTTGCTCGAGGAGAAAGTGAAGCGAATGAGCTTGTTCCGCGATCCTCCTCTCCATTCAGGGTATACCGTACTCCCCGTCACCGTTGAGCTATAGCACGAATTGAGGCGCTAGGCCGAAAGAATGTGTGCGGGATTTTTTGCCGGGGCGCGCCTGTACATAGTGCGTAGCCCGAGGTCGTGCACCGTAGCCCAAGGCCAGGGGCCGCATGCGCAGGGCACAGGCCCGCGGGCTACGGTGCACGACCAAGGACTATAATATTTTTTATATTTTAGGGAGTAGTATTGTACAACTCCCTGGTTAAGAGTGGGTGATTGCCAACCACGGCACGCACTAGGCCAAGGCCATATATAGGGCATACAATCAGCCATATATAGCTAGGCGCTAGGCATGCATTTTTTTAGATCTATTTGTGTTGTACGTAGATTCACATGTACCGTAAAATCCCGCCAGAGCGCCCCCGTCTCTCCTATCCACCCCTCCCTGACTCCTTGTCAGGGATGTATCCTCGTGATCGTATGACTATGACTCTGTCGCAGTCTGTGATGCCGTACTGACTGCAGACGCGTGCTCGACCACGTTGGAAATGTACGCAACATTAATTAATTTAACAGTGCCCACCCTAGGTACCCTCTTGACCAGGGATCGCACAAACCCTGATATAGTAGGGAGGTTTAGTTCCCACGTAACGGAAACGCGTACGTGGGTGATCCACGTAAAGTGGATGAAGGGCATCCACGTTGCAATGTTGTGTTTAGTCACACGGAACAAACAAAAGCATAAAGCGAAAGGCCCAAACCTGGTCAAAGACGAAGCTACCCGGGCCTAAGAAGCTCATCGAATATTTTGATTTCGTGCTTCGGAAACTTCTTCAGCTGAGCACCCTCACAGCTTGCACAATGCGCTCCATTCTGATTTTCACCCACGTTCTGGCGGAACGTGGGTGAGCCTCCATACACGGCATGTCGTGAATCAGAAAACGTCTGTACGTGGGTCACTGAGTATCACGTGGTACACCCACGTAAAGTACCCACGGATTACGTGGGACTAAACCTCCCTATTGTGAGTTTTGACGGGTCTGTACTACTCCTGGTTCAGACATGGCACGTGCTTGTTGCCAGGCCACAGCCAATGAGCGGCCAGAATAAGCGGGCAAGATCAGTAGATCTTGCCCGCTTATTCTGTACGCGATACGGTACAACTGCTGTTCTTGCCCGCATATCCGGGCAAGAACAGCAGTCATACAGCACCGCGCCGCACATGCGTACTTACCATTTTTCGAAGTCCTTGCCTTGGTCAACATCTCCGACGAGTTCTTCAAAATTTGTCTCGCTTCTCCAAAATTACTCACTACTGTCTTGAACGTCGGGAGGCCAGAAACGCCATCCAACCTTGCAGCTGGGCATGGTGCTCGGCGAAACGCACGTAAGGGAAGCAGACCTCAACAAGTGTAGCTTCTCAGCACTAGCATTCGAACCTTACTCTGACAATCATCAATCTTACTCGGAGAACGGGTTTATTCAACCAATCATATTACTGGTACTACTAACGTTACTACTGCCTTCACTGTACTTGAATACTTTCATCTCAAAACTGGAAAGTCCTGACCAAACAAATCTGTTTGTGATGGACATTGCACACAATGTGACATTGCGGCATTTTGCCATTGCCAAGGCTTTTTTTCTCTTTGAACATCTCCATATATGTGGGCCTTGTCTGAACCAGGGAGTAGTACAATACGGTATTGTACTACTCCCTGGTCTGAACCGCAATCCTACACAGTTGCATCCAGGGAGTAGTACAATACGGTATTGTACTACTCCCTGGTTGCATCGGGCATGACGCTCTGATCAGGCCCTCGGTCATGTGAGTGATCTTGCCCGCGGTCGCGACGCCCTCGGGGCTACGCCCCTTGGGCGTCGCGACCTCGGGCAAGATCACTCACAGACCTCGGGCCTGATCAGAGCGTCATGCCCTCGCAACTGTGTAGGATTATGTATCTCTTGACCTTTGCCTTGGTCAGTGTACGAGATGCACGAACAGTTTTCGTAGGGTGAGTACTTTTTCATGTTGCACTGAATGCGGCAAGTAGAACTCGCCCATCCGCCCCTCGAGAGGCCTCCCCACCTGAAGCGACGAGGAGGTAGGGGCGCTCTGGCGGGATTTTACGGTACGTGTAGCCAATAAAAAAAGTTTTTACCAAGATTTTTTTGGATTTAAAATAGACAAAATGCATGATCGATAGTCAATGAAAAACGTAAAATGTTATGCTATGAATTCAGGGATCGATGGCCCACGCCTGGTAAAAAGAAAAGACCCCCCCCCCCCCACCAATAAAATTATACTGCGCATACTTGTACGCACGTAAATGTGCCATATCCGTATTTCCGTATTTACTAGGGTGTTCTATCCCCACGCAGCGAGCTATCGGTCCCAGCCCATTCATTGCATCTATTTATCGCAAGTTGGAAGGTGCCAAGAAGCGGGAGTATGGCGAAAGAGTTAACCAAGTTGAACATGGTTCGTTCACACCACTGGTCTTCTCCTCTTGCGGCGGAATGGGTCCAGAGGCAGCCATCGTCGTCAAGCGGATTGCTGATGCTCTGGCTTCTAAGCGCAAGGAGAGCTACAGCAAAGTCGTTTGCTGGATGCGCTGCTGCTTGGCTTTCTCTCTTGCTAGGTCTGCGATCCGGTGCGTTCGAGGATCACGCTCCGTTCGCCGCCGTCACATCAACCTTGTGCCTGTCGACCTCGTCCAGGCTGAGGCTCGCCTTGCTACGCATTAGACTGTCTTCACAGCCATTTTAGCTCCCTCCTTATTGGACTGTTTTCACAGCCATTGTAGCTTCCTCCGTATAAGACTGTTTTCACAGCCATTTCAGCTCATTTTCTCTCGGTACTAAGCTGTTGACCTTGCACTTGTGTTTATTTTGCCCGTACAATTACAAGATTAAGAGGCTTGGAATCAGGGAGTCGTCAAATAGTATTTGACGACTCCCTGCTTGGAATCATAAAAAAATAAAAATAAAATTTTTTTCGTATATACTAGTACGTACAGTCAACTTCGCTAATAACGACTGCGGATATAACGACAATTCGCGGATAACGACCGAATTTCCATGCCCAGAGCAAAGTCCCATCTAACTGTACACATTTTACTTCGGATATAACGGCAATACTTCGGATATAACGACTATCTGAATAACGACAATTCGCGTATAGCGACATGCTTTTAGTGCCCCGAGGTCATATTCACTGCTTGAATAACGACGTTCTGGGCTTTTGACAGCTATTTCAAGTACCTGTCAGTCAAGTACAATCATGTACATGTACATGTACATGTGCCTGTAATTTTTTTTTTTTTTTTTTTTTTTTTTTTTACTAAGGCATGCAGTAGTACCAGAACCTATGGTGATGGATATAAAGGCACACATGCAAGAAAATGCAGCCAAGGGGGGGGGGGCTTTTTCTTCCTTTTTATGTTGGCTTCAAAATTGTTGGATTTACCAGCACACCTACATGTATATGTACATACAATGTACATGTAGTTGTACAAGATAGTACAGTAATCATCATACATGTACATGTACATGTCTCTGGCCCTGTAGATGGCTCAAAAAGGCATACTTTTCAATTGATTTCCCTTGCATATTGAATTTTTAGTTCCTTTCAACTGCAATATGAAAATAAAGTACACATTGACATAGAGCAAGAAAAGAGCTTGATTTTGATATGCATGTCATACTATACAAAATATGGGTTCACATACATTCAAATGGGACTTCGGTTATAAGGACACTTCGCGAATAAGGACACTTTTCTGATGCCCCGCCGAATGTCGTTATTGGCGAAGTTGACTGTATACGCATTTCCTTTTCTCACCTTTCCGTTTTTGGCACATGGCACACAGACCCCCCATGCTGTTTTTTAATTTTTTAAATGAGACTTTTATCACAAAGCACGAAGAAGTGTAAAAACAACAGAAAATGATAAGGCACCCATTTTGATAATCCAGGGCCTAGGCCATATATAGGGGATCCCCGGGATGGCCCATGCAATTGGTACGAGGTGATCTGCTATTATGTAACATTTTACATTATGTAACAAATTGAGTAAATTATGCATTCCTCGGGTCTGTCGAGGCCAACCTGAAGTTTCTTTTATGGCCGTCTGGAGCTATCCCACCGAGGCTTCCGCCGCTTCAGCTGACAAAATATTGGCGTCATGGAAGGTCGGCAAGGCCTGTTGAAGCGTGCCCATTTCATAGGAACTGGATGAAATTAGTAAATTATGTGAATGTTGACGTCCCCCAGGTCAGTCATCATGTGTATGCCCCTAATTGCCTAAAATCGATAGAGCAATGTTACAAAGTGGTAAGCCTCAAAGTTCCGAACTCATGGTGGTGATATGTGGTTGGGAAATGTCTTTTGTATTCGATATATCCATTCGTTTATCAGGAGTGTTCAACAGCGACTATAGTCGAGGGGCATTGTTCTAAATTTTCGTTGCTGTTGGTCGCCTTGGCATCGACTAAAAGCCACGTGTTCATCATGAGTGTACGCATTTCCCTTTTCGCATACGCACATACATTCATCACTCAAGATCGCGGCCCCTTTGACGCTTCATTTTGCTTGACATGTGCAAAACAGGAAGTTGTACTACTCCCTGGTGCAAAATATCTCCGAATTCTTCGAGACCCGTTCTTGAGTAATTCCACTTTCTTCCTTCTTTTCTTCTTCTTCTAGAAGCTAGAGAATATAAGAACGCACCCTAACTATCTCTTCATCTATCGATCTATCTATCTATAGTCTGTCTATCTGTCGGCCTGTCTATCCATCTGTCTGTCTGTTTGTCCGTCTGTCTGCCTGTCTGTCTGTGTATCTGTCCGTGTGCCTGTCTGTCTATCTATCTGTTGATCTGTCTATCGATATATCTTCCGATCTCTCGATCTATGAATCAATAAATCCATCAATCAATCTATTCGTCTATCTATCTATCTATCTATCTACTAGTACCTATCTTTCTATCTGTTGATCTATTTATCCACCTATCTATCTATCTGTCTGTCTGTCTATCTGTCTATGGATCTATCTGTCTACCGATCTATCTGTTTATCTGTCTATCGATCTATGGATCCATCTGTCTATTTGTTTTCATGGCAGCACTTTGATACTGTAACAGACTGATGAACTGATAGTGAACTGATAGTGAAGAATAATTTTTCAATGAACAAATGAGTTTATAATAATATGATAGAAGATGCGCGCGCAATAGCACGAGATAGTAACATGTATAAGGTGAGAACTAACACAAAGGTGACAACTATCACACCATTCCACTCCTCCTCCTCGAAGCCAGCAGGCTTCGGTAAAATACACAACATCTGAAATACAACTGAAGAAAATATTTAATGGTCTGGCCACTCAAGCGGAATATGCCATGATTATATGACGTGAGATGAGCAGATGTGAGTGATACGGAAATGCGAGGAGAATGTGTACAGGTACATTTCGACCAGTGCCAATAGAGGGGGTGAAGCAGCCGCGTACAGTAGCCCAACCTAACACGAGAATAAGGTGGAATTCAATGAATCAAGTCATTCAAGGCTCTTCAAATATTGTTGCAAGGGAATGATGTTTCGCCCAGATTCGTCCTGGAGGTTACCTACCGGCTCCCAGATTGCACAGGGGCAGGAGGACATCCCAATTGTCTTGTTTTAGATTCACAAACGATCGTAGCACATCTTCCACGACTCTATTGACGCGTTCTGTAAGCCCATCACTTTGAGGGTGATTAGCTGTGCTGAAACAGAGCTTCGTATTAAGGCTACTAGTATTGAAGACCTCCCGAAAAAATGCAGCTGTAAATCTTGGGTCTCCGTCAGACACGATTGTACGGCTCAAGCCGTGTAACCTGAAAATATTCTGAATATACAGGTTCGCGCTACCTTTGGCATCAATTGTGGATGAACAGGGAGCCAAATGAACATACATGTATTTCGTTAAACGGTCCACAAAGGTATAGACGGCATCATGACCCTGAGGGGTTTGGGGTAGGCCAACAATGAAATAAATTATCTTCCCATGAAGTCGGGAACTGAACTGCTAAGGATTGTAATAAGCCTGACCTTTCCTGTCCGCCTTTAACTCGTTGGCACATATCACATAATTTTACAGGCTTCTTCACGTCTACCAGTGTTTGTAAGCCCATCCGTGGCCAGTAAAGATGTCGAGCGTACAAAAGTACAATTGTACGATCCCGTCCCTGATGGCCCGCGGTGGTACAGTCGTGATGCTCCTGAAGTAGCTGAAGGCGCAGTTTTCCTGCCGGAATGCACAGCCGGTTGTTCCGTGACGACTTCAGAAAAAGGAACCCTGAATCCTTGGAGTACTGCTTATGAATGTTATCATCCGTACATCTCTCCAAGTCTCCATGCGCTCAATGATAGCAGAAAGGCTGGCATCCTTTGAATAGCCCGCCTTACTGTCGTTAGCTATCTGGGGGTTTATCTCTAAACCGTATTCAATTGCGTTGCACTCACACACGGAACTACTGGGTTGCAAATCGGGGCGGCGGGACAAAGGATCAGCCATATTGCTTTTCCCGGGCTGATGATGCACAGCACCCCTTTCTTCACTGGCTTCCACCGTTTGGGTGAGGTTGAGCCTCCGGGCAGTCCCTTGCCACGTGGTTGGGATTGCCGCAGGACCAACAGCGGCGACGATCGGGCTCTCCTTCTTGCACCCTGGCTGAAGCCGTTCTGCCTTGCAGAGGATTGCGTCATCTTGGACTAGTAGTTGATTGGTTCCTGGTACTGCCAAGAAATTGTCGGTCTCGGGCATACCAGCTCTGGCTTGCAGTCTCAGCTGCCTTGATGGCTTCCGGAAGGGATTTTGGGTGTTCCGTCAACACCTGTCTCCGTAACCCCAGCGGAAGCCCCCCAACAAATAATAGAGCCCTTGAATGCTCATCGATTTCAGGCACCTGCAGGCTCTGACGGGAAAAGAGTGTGATGTATTCGTCGAGACGGCCACGGTACTCCACGGCAAACAGTTTGAGTCTCGCCTGATCAGCATCATGCTGAGGCCCATATGTCTTCTCTAGCGCATACCGCATTGCTTCCCAATCTCTGTACCGCTCTCCACTGTCCAACGACGTCATGAGCCATATGCGGGCGTTGTCCTCCTGGCAGCATAGGTCAGCTCTAGTTCAGGAGAAGCGAAGCCGTGGGATTGCAAGGCGAGTTCCACTGCAAATACCAGGGTACCCCGTAAGGAGACCATAGGTCTGTGGGACTGCCCTAGAAAAATATGAATAAATACTACCCATTCTCGAAACTGCCACTGAAGGTTGGCGGTGGTCGAGCTGCTGTTCGATGGCCTGGGCCAGGCCCAGTTTGGGATTATCCCCGATAGCATCGGTGCTCTGGCTGTTCTGCAGCGAGAGTTGCTTCTTGAGGCAGTCTTGATATGGTCAGTTTATGCCTGTTATAGACTGTAGTTGGCCCCGGGCTCTCATTAGAGAACATACGGTACAGTACATGTGTATCGGCATAGGAAATACCGTTGACCGGATTGTCTAGGTAAACCAGCAGACGATGCCGAGACCTCAGGTCGGCAGAGCCATCAATGCCCCACCATCATTGCTGCGTCTCGGCGCAGCCCCTGCTCAGTAGTTGTCACGTTTGTCCTAGTCTCAGTACCATTGTTTTTCTTTATCATTGACGAGTTCGATACCGGTATGTGAACATGGTAAAAAAACAAAAAACAAAAAAACAAGCAGCAGCACCCCCCCCCCCCCCCACACACACACACAGGCTGAAAAAAGCCACCAGCCCTCTCCCCCTCCCTGGCCAAACACACACTCTGAAACAAGGCACATGACCTCCCCCCCCCCCCCCCCCCGGCCCAACAAACACACACGCACGCATATATGCATACACAACCAAGCATGGGTACTTCGAAGTAGAAGAGCAAAGTTCTTGATCACACGATACAAGAACGACGTCAGAATGTGCCACAAATACATAAGCTTGCAGCCATGCAAGAAACAAATCATGTGTGTGTGTATTCTAACTACAATGCAGCGACAATAATAATAATTATTGCTTGCCAGATTGACACCATCCATGATATCATGACAAATAATGATTATTATACGATAAAGGCCTCTTTTACGAGCAAACAGAATACAATTGACAGTGGCATGGCGAATGATTAGAACACAACACCAAAAAATGAAAACAATTGTATGTGTGAAAAAAACGCAAAAACCGGGAAAAAAACAAAAAAACCCAAAACCCCCCCCAGGAAAATACAAGGGCACTGTCCTATTATCATCCATGATATGAAAAGTATAATATCATGAGGCCGCAGTAGCAAGAAGTCGACATGCACAACAAGAAGACAAGTCAATACTTTATACAATCAAATACATGATTGACCGGTGAAAGTCTGATTATACCTACCTACTGTGGAGGTGATGGCATAGCAGCAGGAAAACTTGAGCTGCCGTAAAGTCTTGTATAAAAGCCGCGGCTTCTATGACTTTGTTGGTGAAATTTTGCAGGCTTCTCTATGAGACAGGCTTCTGTACAACACAGGTATTTCTATGTATGTCAACACTAAAACTGGGCTTATGTGTGATTTGATGGGCCCAGAATTGCGGCTTCTATTCGAGGGCGCTTTTATTCAAGTGCGGCCTTTATACAAGATTTTATGGTATACGCTCGTGGAGCGTTGACGTGAACATGTCAGCATGTCAGACTGAGGTATGCCGACGGGATTACATGTATAGCCCTGAACGGGCATTTGCTAGTAACAGAGATTATGCAGCAACAGAGATTATAGGCTCTATAGCCTTGAACGGTCACTTCCGAGCAATAATTGAGAAAGTTCTGGCGTCCGGGGTAAGCAGAAAACTTGCGCGAAGTGCCTCTGAAGAGAAATCATGGACGGCTATCTATAGCAGTCTCTGATGCAATTTATTTATTATATTCCCAATGTAGTGAATTTACCCATGTCAGCCTGTAGTGCATACATGCACAATTGAGTCAGACAATGCGCATGAAAGTGAGACCGGATGATCGACCTGGCGTGAACACCTACGACAGCATCGCTCTGCTGAGTACAATGTTATTTAAAAAAAGCAGTAGCTGTGCTATATGATCAGCATTTTAAAGAATGCGACACGATAACATGTCCCGCAGCAGAACATGCAGAGGAAATTGATAGGTTTCGATAAGGCAACCAGTACGCTGATCTAGTCAATGGTATCGTGGGGGACTCGCAATCAACAAGTGCCGGTTTGCAGCAAAATCAGACGACTACATAGGGTGGATACGACAAGGATAACTTTGGTCAAGATGTTGCTGCTGCTGGGGCTGCCGACTGCGACGCCTGCAGGTGATGGTAATTTGGCAATATCTTCGTTAGGAAGTCCAGCTGTAATGTCGGTGCCTGTGAGTTGGACACGGTGGAAGAGAAAGAGCGAGAGACAGAGAGAGAGACAGAGAGAGAGACAGAGAGAGAGAGAGAGAGAGAGAGAGAGAGAGAGAGAGAGAGAGAGAGAGAGAGAGAGAGAGAGAGAGAGAGAGAGAGAGAGAGAGAGAGAGAGAGAGAGAGAGAGAGAGAGAGAGAGAGAGAGAGAGAGAGAGAGAGAGAGAGAGAGAGAGAGAGAGAGAGAGAGAGAGAGAGAGAGAGAGAGAGAGAGAGAACAAAAACCTAAAGCTAAGTTGTGGTAGAGTGCCAAAATTGTGAAAGAAAGGAATTACTCTGCGACCAGAATAGCTACATCCTTTGGAGATCATGGAGAGCAGAGCATACACCGTCGAAAACTCAAAGTCAAGACCAATTGCACATGACCAGATACAAATTTCAAGCACTTTCAAGGCATTCAACGTCCTGTCCAAATCATCTGACCGTAGAGCTAATCACAGCTAGACAAAGAAAGGCACAACCAAGGGTAATTTATTACTGCTAGATAGGAGGTAGCAAACAATAATGTGTTTTTCTTTACCTCAATCTCCTGCATGCAAGTACAAATAAGAACTGGCTCAGTGAAGAAGACAGTGACACACACACACACACACACACACACACACACACACACACACACACACACACACACACACACACACACACACACACACACACACACACACACACACACACACACACACACACACACACACACACACACACACACACACACACACACACATGTACACACACACACACACAAGTACACCCACACACACACAAGCACACACCATGTATCATGTACCACCAAGAGTCCATAACGGACTCTTGGTACCATGTATACACCAAGAGAAGCACGAAAATCTGCAAATGCACTGGCTGTGCACCCACAGATTTTCTCTTTATACCAACGATAGCGAACAAGATCTGAATGAGACAGATCAAGACTTGCGCCAGATCACTGTCTAATCCACACAACTGGCGAAACCATGTGAATCGACCACCAATGCACACCTGGTCTACACCATATGGAGCACATCGGAAAAGGACGGCCAAGACAGTTACCTATGCACACCCTACACTTGCTGGGGTAACCAGTATAGATAGCACGCTGCTTTGATAGAAGCAGACACTAGATGCATTGGTACCTTGAAGTGAAATTGGAGTTACTTTACCAACCAGCCTCGGCTACTGAGTACTGGGAACCCAGAACCAATAGATATACCAACAACCTCAGCCATGACAGCTATTATAGTAACGACACACTGGATTGTGAAGCCGAAATTTGTCCAACTTCCAAATGCTTTGGCAAGAGGGTAGCCCACACAGACACACACACACACACACGCACGCACGCACACACACACAAACAAACACACACAAATCCACACAGGCACGCCAGGATGTCAGGTTGTACACATGACCTCCTCAGCAGTAAACACACGTTGACGGCCAAAACGTTAGTCCGGGTATGGCCAGAGCAAACGGACGGGTTCAGATTGGCCTACACACGCACGCACGCATGCACGCACTCACGAATGCACACACATGCACACACACACACACACACACACACACACACACACACACACACACACACACAGTGACACTGAATTTGAAGAAGGAACAACGTACTCATCGGGCATGGATGACCACTTCGTCCTCAATCTTGCCTTTCCATACGCTGGCTGCTCCAATTGCTCAATATCTGCAGTCTCTTCAGCATCAGACCTGCTGCTGCCATCCGTAGCCTCTGCAATCTTGTCAACTGACGCATCAGCCTCAACTGCACTTGTATATTCTGCGTTGTTCATGGCAAGGCACACTGCTGCCTCTGTACAGCAATACAGAAACAGCAACAGTATTAGTGGCACAGTCTCTAAGAGCTCACAAACTAGTCAAGGGAGAGGGGATAAGTCTCTCAAGCAAGCGAGTGTGTAACAGCCTGTTAACCCTACACACTACAATATCCTTGCTACACTCAACCCGAGGGCGTGAGTGCAGTCAACTTTGTGTATACAACACTCGGCCGGGCATCAGAAAAGTGTCCTTATTCGCGAAATGTCCTTATACCCGAAGTCTCATTACATGTATTTTATAAAATAAGAAAGAAAAGAATAATAATAATAATAATATGCATACAGGTAGAATGGACTTTGCTCTGGGCATGGAAATCCTGTCGTTGTTCGCGAATTGTCGTTATATCCGCAGTCAATTCAGGCGCGTGCACCGGTGCCCTTCAAGGGGGGGGGGGTTCCGGTGTCCTCCCCCAGGAAATTTTCAAAAAATGAAGCAAAATACTGCATTTTGAGCGAAAAAAGGGTGGTTCCGGGCACCCAGGAACCCATACGGGGCACGCACCTGGACTCATTATTAGCAAAGTTGACTGTAGTTACATCACTGTTGCGGTCAGCACAGCTCACTGCGCGTGAAGTGGTACTCGTCCACATCATCGTGATCGAGACAGCACTACAGTCCATTCATCGGAAACAGTCCCGCTGGCTTTTGAAAGTCCGATTTGGGGCGAACTGAGGATAAAAAAAAACACTTTAAATCTCCAAAATCAGCGTTTGAGATATTCTTCTCCATACATTTTGCCATGGTAAACCTATCCCAATTTGGTAAAACCTGGCTGAATTTCTATTTCCCTGTCCTTGGACTTTTCTGGCCTCAAATGTGGCAAGGAGTAATTGCACGGGTCACACAACGCAGGATGTACTGTTGTTTTCACGATATCTACAACTATGTGCGGGACACACAACAAAGTTAGGGTGCCAGTTTCCAATCAATGGACTGTAAACGCACTGCCTGTTACCAGTGCAGGTTTTGAACTGGGGACCTCATGTCGTCATGATTAACAAGCAAACCTACAAACCAGGGAGTCGTCAAATACCATGGTATTTGACGACTCCCTGCTACAAACCTATCGGCTACAGTAAACCGTGAAATTATTGCGATGGTCTAATTTCTGCGAAATTCGCGACCGCGTGGAAATCGCAAAATTTAGACAGCGCGAAAAGGAGATCCATAAAAGGTTTTAGCATGAATGCCACAGTAGCAAATTCTGCAATCGCAAAATTAAAACCTCGCAAACCTGTCCGGATTCTGAAAACGAGAACTAAAAACGCCGCGAAAATTTCACGCTTCACAGTACACGCCGTGGGTCGTACAAAGCACATCTTTTCGAGCGTGTCTTTTTTGTTTTTTGCGAAATTTGCATCCCACATGAAATCACGAAGATATGCGCACACAACGCCCACACACGCCCAAACACGCACACGTACGCGCACGCACACACACACACACACACGTGCGCACATACACGCCATGTACCATGTATACGCCCATCGCAAGAGAAGCATGCAAATCGACAAATGCACTGGATGTGCGCCCACAGATTTTCTCTTTATAGCAATGATGGCGGATCTGATTCTGAATGAAACAGATCAAGACAAACGCCAGACAACTGTCTTATCCACACAACTGACGAAGCCATGTGAATCGACCACCAATGCACACCTGGTCTACACCACACGAAGTACATTGGCATAAACCTGCCAAGACAGTTACCTATGCACACCCTACACTTGCTGGGGTAACCAGTATAGACAGTACGCTGCTTTAGAAACAGACACTAGATGCACTGGTACCTTGAAGTGAAATTAGAGTTACACACACACACACACACACACACACACACACACACACACACACACACACACACACACACCAGGGCCGGAGGCAGCTCCCATGGAGCGGTGCGACCAAGTGCCTTCCTGAAGGGGGTGTGGGGGTCCTCCCCTAGAAAATTCTAGGAATTTAGAAGGCAAATCGTGCTCTCTGGGCACATTTCGGTGTATCTTCTAGCCCCTGGGTAGATCTACAACTTGCAAGCCTGATATTCCAATGCAGAATACACTAGTTTCAGACTGTGCATCTATGATAGTTCACTGTACGTAGAGTGTTGCTGATGAAAGGGTACTAGTAGTCAGTATTTTACGACTCCCCAGTGTACAAAATCATACATCGAAACTTTTCCTCCCCGGTTTTGGACGTTCCAAGTGGACCGGCGTTTTGAGAAATTGGTAACACCATGGCCGTACCGGCCGCACCAGTGGCACCGACCCTTCACGTACCCCCCCCCCCCACACACACCACACACACACACACACACACCACACACGCACGCGCGCGCGCGCACGCACGCACGCACGCACGCACGCACGCACGCACGCACGCACACACACACACACACACACACACACACACACAGTCACTCGGATTCAACAGACTGTGGTTGTCCCCTGCATGCTACGCCAGACACATTACGTCACTTAGAATTTACAACCACGTTAAGAAAAAGAGAAAAAATCATCTCCCACGTAAACTTTATCTTATTCAATTCCAACAATTAAAACTAAGTTGCCTTATAAAATTTAACCTTAATACTATCCGCTGATCTGCTACGCACATCTCTCAACTCCATTGTGGGATACGCCAGCATCAGTGACAAGTGATTAGCGTGGCACTTGCGTAACCCATCAGTACGCAGAGCTCCCAGCAGTTCGCGCATACATGTAGCAGCGGTTGTATTGCAGTTCCAATCATTCAGTTCATGCTGACAACATCTGAGCGTCTCCATCGTCAACAATACAATGTACTGTACCCACAAAGGACGAAACAGTTCTGTCCGCAGATTGAGTGCAATTATTTACACAATAATGAATTATTTTTCTGTTCATGAGGTCGAGGATCCATATCCATGATATCGGCATGCCTTCCGCGCTAGCGCTCGAACACAGCAACGACGTACAGTCTTACTCTTAGTATGGCCCGGTCACGTCGAGACTAGTACTAGTAGTAGTAGATCTACTCAGTAGTAACAACAACTACTCAAGGCAGTCAAGGCGACCACAGTCAGTGTGCAAGTACAAAACGCAAAACTGCTTCAGACAGTGTAGAAAGAAAAGCCAGCTTTGAGTTTGAGTTTGAGTGTTACGGGACAGACAAAGTCCAATGCCTTTGAGTTTGACTGTTATTGCGAGATATTGAAAATAACATTTAAGTAGCTGAGTTTGGAATCTACCACTACCAGTGTTTCTTCGCGGCTGAAAACCAGCAGCACACACTAGCATTGAATAGGACGAATAGAAACAAGGTAATTTTATGCTGGTAGGTGTTGGTGTGTGAGCCATTCAGCGTCATGGCGAGCAAAGTGGAGAACAGCAGTCGTAATGACTATGAAGCAAAGTGCTCGAGTCAGGATAGCGGTGAACCTGCAGCAAACGGGTCTGCCAGCACACAAGCAAGTCTTGCCACTGGTCGAGCAGATCAGGTAAGAAACATACCCGAGGCAGTGTGCAGGTTGAGAGATTTGCTAGTTGAGAAATATGTAAGCGCTACGGTAGATATGGGAGAAGGCATGGTTGAAGAAGGGCTCAACGAACCCAGCGTTTCAGACGTGCAAGTGAAACTGATCATTTTGTCGAGACCCGAGCTCCGAGATCAGTTCCGTAAGGCGAGTTTTGATTCGATTGGCGACGTGTGGCGTGTGGAGCATGTTTTCACCAAAGCGGCCAGTAGCTTGGAGAATATCTCACTGGAAAGTCTCTTCGATCTTGACAAAGAGCAGATGCTGGAGTTCTCTAGCGGTGGTCGAACCTATCGCATCTTGGTTGTAGCCAGTGCTGGCTGCGGCAAAACATTCGCCTTGACCAAAGTGGCTCCATTGAAATGGGCCCAGAATGAAATGTGGACGTCGTTTGACCTGGTGGTAGCGCGAAAGCTGCGACACAAGGAGGTGAGAGAAGCGACGAATATATGCTCTCTGCTGGGTGTGGAAGAGCTGGGAGAGTTTACGAGCGACGAGCGCAAGAGCATCGATGGCTTTGTACGCCAGCAAGCGCATCGAGTGTGCTTAGTATTAGATGGTCTTGATGAGATCCGCCTTAGTGAGTGTAGTGGCTTTGTTCGTGACGTCATCAACGGGTCTAATGTGAAGGGGCTTCGTCTGGTAGTGACGTCACGGCCGTGCGTTGAGCTACTGAGCCTGTGTGATCAAAAGCAGTTTGATCGGCGTGTGGAACTTGTGGGTTTCCGGCAGGAGGATGTAGAGGAGTACATCGGAAGGGTGCTGAGATCAGCGGAAGAAGCATCGGCACTGGTAACGGCAGTACGGCGTGACCAGAACCTTGCCAGTATGATGGCTACACCATTCCTGGCCATGCAGACGTGCAAGATCTTCCACTGTCGTAAGCGCACTCTGCCCCATTGTCTCTCGGATATCTTTGAGATGATGACCATCCAAGTAGCAGAGCGTCACACCGGTGAGTCGTACAAGAATTGGAATGCGATCCCCGCTCGTGTGCGGTCCCTCATCCTGGATCTCGGAAAGTTCTCTTTCAGCATGCTGATGAAGCAGCAGCTGATATTCACTGATGCTGACCTGGAGGCACGTTCGATTGCCAGAGAAGCAAAGTCACTGGGCCTTCTTGTACTTGCCGACAACAGCAGCAGGGATAAGGACCGGTTATGGATGTTCAGCCATCTGACATTACAAGAGTCTCTGGCTGCTCGCTATGTGGCTGTACACAAGACAACAACATTGGCACATGTTGTTCGCCTGGTTGAGTCACTGGGACCCCGCACCAGCCACTTACGCACTTTCTGGATGCTGCTGACGGCTCAGCTGGACGCGGAGAAGGCTGACTGCTTGATCAACGGTCTACTTACACGGAAAAAGTCAGGCAAGAGAGACTGGCAAAACTGGGATGGTGACGGTGAAGGTTTGGCTGACACGACGGCACTGAACATGTTCCCACTGGATATGCTCGAGGTCCTTAGCGCCGGATTAAACTACGAGGAAATCCATCGCCTATCGGAAGAGTTGCTATCTGACCGAATCGACGGACGAAGCGGCAACCAGTACGTCGAGAATCGCAGTCAATACGGTCGATCGTCTACGGGTGAGGAATTCCTGAGTACAATGTTGCTGGCTTGGGTGGAACGCTGCCCAGACGCAACGCCTGCTACACTGGCTACTGCTCTCCGACGTATGGGTAAAAAGGTACTCGCACAGTCTCTTACTGCTAACAAACCAGATAAGCCACTGCTACAGAACAGTCCCTTCCACAACGATATAACGGGGGTGCATCGCAGAAACTTGGATCTCGCCTTGCTGTGCTATGCTGAGTATTCTCATCACCATGGCAACGACACCCATCCCATGTCCAGTATTGCTGCTGCGTTGCAGTGCATGAAAGTACAGATCAGTGATACCTACCATCCTGCAGTGTTGCGTGCCTATGATGTAGCCATCAATGTCCACCACACCAGTGTGAGGACTGTGGAGATACACGCCCTGCAGCCCGACTGCCCAGTGTCACTGCCAGCATCGTTTCTCAAGTGTAGCAACATCACCAATCTCCGTATCTATGGCTGTAGCTGGCAGTGGCAGGAGATCACCGCTGTTATAAAGTCATCACACCTACACCTGGAGAGTATCGTGTCGGAGGACTGTAATTTCAGTGATTCTTCCAATAGCAGTGTAGCATCACACCCAGTCCACACCAAGCCAGCACAGGCTACAAGCAGTGGAGAGGTAACAACGTCAGAACAGGTCACCAGCATCCCCGCACTGCTCCTGGCCGACGCACTTGCCGACGTTCCCCGCCTCCAGGTTTTCATCCTGGACGACTGTGACGGTATTGACGAAGAGGGTGTGCGCATGATCTACACAGCACTGCATAGTGCATCACATCTGTCTGAATTACACATTTATCAGTCCCACTGGGTACACTGCATCAGCGTCCTGACAGAAAACCTGCACACTGCCTGGCCATGCTTGACGGAGCTAGTAGTCGATGATTACGACAAGCCACAACAGCAGGATAGCCTAACCGACGATGACGTCACTGCATTCCTGCATGCCGTCAACAGCCATACCTCACTGCAGGAACTAGCAATCACGGCCAGCCATACTGAAGTGGCACCCGTGGACGCCTGCAAACGTCTCTTCAGCAGCAGTTCCTATAGATCTTCCTTGGACACGGATCTCCGCCTATACCAGTGACAGTAGTACGGCAGCTATCTTGCCAGTACCGTCATCTAATGATGCATAACTAGACACATAGTCGGTAGTAATTCCACATTATCCTCAAACAGTCTACTAGTATGCAGTGACAGATTATGTAAGAGAAGAAAACAATTTAAAACTGTACCAATACAGATTGTGTACCACTAGCAGTACCAGTAGTCCTCGACTGTCTATTCTCTAGGCTTACAGCACATACACAGGTTTACTGTTAGATAACCCTAAGGCTTTCCAGGACATTTAGTCACCACATCATTGTGGTGGTATTTCTGCTCTCCAACCCCCTTCACCCCTCCCCCCCCCCCCCTGCCCTCTCTCGTTACCCGGTAAGTGTTTTATCCGGATCCCTCGCCATCCGGAAGAAAATAGCTGGTCACATTTTTACAGCATATGTGATGCATCCAACATAATCAGTGTTCGGTTATCCAGTTCCTTCGCCTATCCGGATATCTTTGTGGAAAACGGATGTGTGCGATTAAACGAGTTCTGACTGTACCATGCTTTTCCACCCACCCTGAACTACATTCTGCTATCCTCAATCCACATCCTGCTGCCTACTCGCATCATTATAAATTCTTCTCCACTCGTTTCCAACATAGAACATAGAACAAACAGTGCACTTTGGTATCAATGTACACATGTACACGTGACTGCCATCATCATTGTACATAACACTTTTACTTTGTAATCCACTCGGTCAGTTGACTGACGTGTAACCATAGAGACATCATTCATATTCCTGCATAGCCAGGTACCCAGTATAGTCGCTTTGTAGATCTCCGTCTCACAATCCAGACTAAACAAGAATATCTACATGATAGGTTTACCATCGAACTATTTACGTACATGTATACAATCATCCCCCCCCCCCCCCTCCCCACACCTCCCCCTCCCCCCTCCCCACACCTCCCCCTCTCCACACCTCCCCCCTCCCCACACCTTCCCCTCTCCACACCTCCCCCTTCCCCCCCTTCCCCCCCCCCTCCCCACACCTCCCCCTTCCCCCCCTCCCCTCACCTCCCCCTCCCCCCCCCCCTCCCCACACCTCCACTGCTTGTTGTTGTTTATTAATTACTTCGCAGATTCTAACGGGCAAGTTACCCAATAACAAGAAAGCGAAGCTGCTCTTATGCTGTATACAGTCATCCACACAGCCCCCCCCCCCCCACACACACACCTCCACTGCTGCTCTTTACTCTATATGTACAATCATCCACACTGCCCCCCCCCCCCCACACACACACTCACACCTCCACTGCTGCCGCTCTTAGCTAGTATGCTGTTGACAGATACACGTAGTAGTGTAGATATTTGTAATAATTATTCACAATGCACATATCCTTCAGGTCATTGAGCTATGATGATTGTGTGTATGGGTATTCTATGGACTGTGTGTTATGTTGGCACGTGTCGGGACGGTGTGACCGGCCCATCAAGATTCTTTGTCCTTGGGCGGGGAGACCAGCATTGTTGAACTGTGGCTTTATCCTCGAATTTAGTGTGATAACCCAGGCCCGTTCAAATACGCGGCATGTAAATGGCCTGTTGATGTTCTGCATCATAATGATTGGGAGTGCATGCTGTGCCGTGGTGGAATAATTTCATGTTGGTTGTCCCATATGATTGTACTTGGCATGTACTAGTGTGATGTAGTGTATTTCACTGATCTTTCAAGTAGAGAAAAAGTGTACAAATCTCAGTCAGGTGATTTGGACCATGGCATGTTGCCCATTGTTATCACAATTAGTAACACACTTCATTGCGTGTGTGTACTTGTGTAGGGGGGAAGAGGAAGGGGGGTGCATGATTTCGTGTGTATGTGTGTGTGCCTATAGTTTACCGAATGGGGGGGGGGGGGGGGTGCATGGTGTGTGCGTGTGTGTAGTTTACTTACCGTAAAGTGGCGGATAAATGTCGGGCTTATAAGCACATAAGCCGCTTTCTGCATCAGGCTTTAATGCAAACCATGCTTTGTATACACCACTGATATTTTTGCCAGGCTTCTACGGGCGACACGCGTAGATCTACCACTGACTACCGGTATGGCGGCAGTTTTACTATGCACCGTACATAGCGCATGCACTCTTGACCCACCCGATCCGCGCTTGCATAGACGCCGGGCTTCTACGCGCGACAGGCGTATGCATTTGACCCGTTTGATTTTCAGGCTTCTATCCGCGATGTGCTTGTATGCGAACCCGGCTTTTATCCGCGACTTTACGGTAATTAATGTCGGTTACATTCTATCCAGTGAGGGTGGTGGCATACCTAGGATGCCCTGGAACAGTGACCTGTTTCTGAGATTCCATAGAAAATTGTTGTCAAAGTACAGCACTACGTACATGTAATACCAGTGTAAGTCCATAGAGTATGCAGTGAAAATAATTGACACAGTCCCACTATACTGCAATGTGAACCATCTGTCCAGTCAAGTGAGAATGTGTTGCTTCTCAGGTTCATACTAGTCTGCATATCAAATTAGTGGAAGGTACTGGAAAGGTTGTCATGGTGATTGTAAAATCATCGCGTTACACAATCCACTTCTCTGGCCTACATTTCCTGATACGGTCAGACCTCGCTTATCCGGTCCTCTTTTATCCGGATCCCTCGCCATCCGGAAGAAAATCGTTGGTTACCGATTTACAGCATGTGCCATGCATACATTCAGTATGTGTGTTTAATTATCCGGTTCCCTTGCCTATCCGGATATCTTTGTGGAAAACGTACATGCAGGTGTGCAGTTATGCGAGGTCTGGCTGTAGCGGGTAACAATGAACTGTGTGTGTGATTGCGCTGGACTTTCCTTTCCCATCAACACCTTGCTAAAGTATGTTTACAACAATGATCATACTGAAGTACCATTACAATACAGAATCAGAGAGACCCACACCATGATGCAAGCGCGTTTCATTCACGGATACAATTTTACTGGAATTCGGAGCAGTGATGGGATATGCGACAGCATTTGGCCGTATTTTCTCTAACAAAAGCCCAGGTCTCCAATAATGACCAGGGGTGAGGGTGGTTTGAAATAATAACAGCACAGTCTTTAAAAAGTGTATCGGCATCGGAAATATTGTTGACCGGATTGTCTATGTAAACCAGCAGACATGCAGCAGCACCCTCGCCCCCCCCCCCCCCACCCACAGGCTGAAAAAGCCCCCAGCCCTCCTCCCTGGCCAAACACACACTCTGAAACAAGGTAGTGCATGACATCCCCCTCCCAACACACACACACACGCTGAATAAAGCCCCCAGCCCCCCCCCCCCCACTGAATAATGCCCCCTCCCCCGCCCCTGGCCGAACACACACTCTGAAACAAGGCACATGACCCCGCCCCTCCCCCTCTTAACACACACACGCACGCTGAATAAAGCCCCCCCCCCCCCACACTGAATAAAGCCCCCAACCCCCCCCCCCCACACACACACTCAGGCCTGTCGCACCGACTCTGGAAAATACAAAATGTATACGCCCGTCGTAAGAGAAGCACGCAAATCTGCAAATGCACGGGATGTGCACCCACAGATTTTCTCTTTATAGAACGATAGCGGATCTGATTCTGATTGAAACAGATCAGGACAAGCGCCAGATAACTGTCTAATCCACACAACTGGCGAAGCCATGTGAATCGACCCCCCAATGCACACTTGGTCTACACCACACGAAGTACATCGGAATAGGACGGCCAAGACATTACCTATGCACACCCTACACTTGCTGGGGTAACCAGTATAGACAGCACGCTGCTTTGATAAAAACAGACACGTCACTAGATGCACTGGTAACTTGAAGTGAAATTGGAGTTATTCACACCCACACATACCATTTGATGCCCATCGCCAGAGGCGATGATAGCGATGCTACAGCAGAAGCCATAGCAACTTGTGCAGGGATTGCACCATTTAACAGCTTGAAAGGCACACACACACACACACACACACACGCATACACAACCAAGTACGAGTACTTCGAAGTAGAAAAGCAAAGTTCTGGATCACACGATACAAGAACGATGTCAGAATGTGCCACAAACACATCAGATTGCAGCCATGTAAGAAACAAATAACGCGCGCGTGTGTGTGTGTGTGTGTGTGTGTGTGTGTGTGTGTGTATCCACAACTGCAACCGATCCACCAGGCGCCCAACTGCTGATGAAAGGGACAAGTTCCAATTGCAATGTCAGAATTGCCGGAGGCGTTTCAAAAGGCGAAACGACTTATCCCGTCACCAACGCTCATGTCTCCTCTCGTCTCCGTCTCGCTCAACGAGAAACACGTGACCTACATGGCAGTGTATACCAGGACCAGGACCAGGTGTGTGTGTGTGTTCTAACTACAGTGTTACCAGCAGCGACAATTGTTTGCCAGATTGACACCATCCATGATATTATGACAAAATTTATGATTATTATCATCCATGATATGAAAAGTGTAATATCATGAGGCCGCAGTAACAAGAGGTCGACATGCACAACAAGAAGACAAGTCAATACTTTATACAATCAAATACATGATTGACCGGTGAACGTCTGATTATACCTACCTACTGTGGAGGTGATGGCATAGCAGCAGGAAAACAATACGCAATACGCTTGTGGAGCGCCGAGGTGAACAGTTCAGCATGTCAGACTGAGGTATGCCGATGGCATTATTGCCTTGTACAGGCATTTCCTAGCAACAGAGATTATAGCCTTGAACAGGCATTTGCTAGCAACAGAGATTATAGCCGTGTACAGGCATTTCCTAGCAACAGAGATTATAGCCGTGTACAGGCATTTGCTAGTAACAGAGATTATAGCCGTGTACAGGCATTTGCTAGTAACAGAGATTATAGCCGTGTACAGGCATTTCCTAGCAACAGAGATTATGCAGCAACAGAGATTATAGGCTTTATAGCCTTGAACGGGCACTTCCGAGCAATAGGTGAGAAAGTTCTGGCGTCCGGGGTAAGCAGAAAACTTGCGCGAAGTGCCTCATAAGAGATATCGTGGACGGCTACCGGTACCTATAGCAGTCTCTGATGCATATATCCACAATGTACCGACCTGGTGTGAACACGCACAGCAGCATCACTCTGCTGAGTACAATATTAAAACAATATCTGTGCTATATGATCAGCAGGTGAAAGAATGCGACACGATAACATGTCCCGCAGCAGAACATGCAGAGGAAATTGATAGGTTTCGATAAGGCAACCAGTACGCTGATCTAGTCAATGGTATCGGGGGACTCGCAATCAACAAATGCTGGTTTGCAGCAAAATCAGACGACTACAAAGGGTGGATACGGCAAGTATAGTTTTGGTCAAGATGTTCCTGCTGCTGCTGCTGCTGGGGCTGCCGACTGCGACGTCTGCAGGTGATGGTAATTTGGCAATATCTTCGTTAGGAAGTCCAGCTGTAATGTCGGTGCCTGTAAGTTGGACACGGTGGGAGAGAAAGAGAGAGAGAGAGAGAGAGAGAGAGAGAGAGAGAGAGAGAGAGAAAAACAGAGAAAAACAGAGAGAAAGACAGAGAGAAAGACAGAGAGAGAGAGAGAGAGAGAGAGAGAGAGAGAGAGAGAGAGAGAGACAGAGAGAGAGAGAGAGAGAGAGAGAGAGAGAGAGAGAGAGAGCATCAACCTGAAGGTAAGTGGTGCTAGAGTGTCAAAATTGTGAAAAAAGGATATATTCTGCGCACCTAATAGCTACGTCCTTTGGGGATAACGGAGAGCAGAGCATACACCGCGGAAAACTCAAAGTCGAGACCAATCGTACATTTAAAAAAAATTCACGGTTCGCGTGAGACTCGGTTTATCTATTATAGAGGCCGAGTTTTCCGCATCCGTAGGAACGTCACCACCCTTCAAGGCGCAGACGCAGCTCCTAAAGCGGTGGGAGGTGAGTAGATCAGCTCACCAGCATGTGGTCAAAGACCGAATATCGCATTCACTGCATCCATGTTTTCCTTGTGCCAGGCCACGAATTGCCAATAATCGTGCATGACCAGATACAAATTTCAACCACTTTCAAGGCATTCAAGGCCCTGTCCAAATCATGTGACCCTAGAGCTAAGCACAGCTAGACAAAGAAAGGCACAACCAACAGTAATTTATTACTGCTAGAGAGGAGGTAGCAAACAATAATGTGTTTTTCTTTACCTCAATCTCCTGAATGCAAGTACAAATAAGAACTGGCTCAAGAGGACACGGAGGGGTATGTGCGACACACATACACCCACACACAACTTACCGTGGGTTTATCACCTTGCACTCGACGCAGATTGCCCTCGCCAAAGACTACCGTATTCTCAGGCAGTGTCTCTTGACTGGTCAGATGACAGCATGCTCCCAGAACACAACCACTGGTCATGGCTGACTTCACACCAATATGACCTAGTAAACAAATGACACATGATACCGACATACAGACAGACGGACAGACAGACACACAGATACATATAAACACACAGACACACACACACACACACACACACCACAGCACACAGACCTTGACCAATGCACATTCTAACAGTCGGGTATGATGGCAACACACCCAGAAACTGAGCCACTATATGGCATAGTGCAGACACCAGCCAAACTAGCTGGTACACACGGATGGGCACACACACACACACACACACACACACACACACACACACACACACACACACACACACACACACACACACACACACACACACACACAAATACGGTCCTGGTAAACACTGCCATTACGGTCACGTGTCCCCTTGCGGGGCCGACAACATGGAAAGACGAGCGACGGCAGTCAGCTGAGAGAGAGAGGTTAGGGACTCAGGAACCATGTTCGAGAGAGCCATCTCCAGCAGCAACACACACACACACACACACACACACACACACACTCACACATACACACACACACACACGGTCCTGGTAAACACTGCTATTACGGTCACGTGTCCCCTTGTGGGGCCGACAACATGGAAAGACGAGCGACGGCAGTCAGCTGAGAGAGAGGTCAGGGACTCAGGAACCATGTTCGAGAGAGCCATCTCCGGCAGCAACACACACACACACACGCGCGCAAGCAAGCAAGGACACAGACGTGGATGCCCGCGCATGCGTACGTATACGTACACACACACTCACACGCAGGCAGGCATGAGCAAATGTGCCTTGGTAATCTACTCACATTTCGACTCTAGCGTGTTGTTATCTCCAATGTGTAATGATTCACAACCTGACCAACAGCAACAAGTTAAGGTAATTGAATCGAGCACATACGGAGATGAAAATGAAATCCATCACCACAGCTCCTCCAGTTACGCAGAAATATTCTACGGATCTCGGCATAATTTTCATCACACCCACCCCAACACTAGATCTCGTCGATTTTGTCGTTAAAAGAAATGATGAACCATGTTCTCAGACACACACTCTACCATGCATTCAAACACACTCTACCATGCATTCAAGTAAAAAAAATCGATGGCTTCGCGTACTGGGCAGGTCAAGAACAAGGAGTCGTACAACTCCCTGGTCAAGAACCACCTTTCCGCTTCCGTGGGATGCCACCACCCCATGATCAGGCGTCAGATGCGGCTCCTAAACATCCAAACACATTGTAAATTTGCACTGGGTGACTTCCGACCCAAGTAAAGTATAAAGGTTACTCCAGGGAGTCGTAAAATACCGGTATTTTACGACTCCCTGGTTTACTCCCTGGACCTGTTCCGATGACATCACTGTGTATTTGTACAGTCATGTGCATGCCTAGCGGCATTCACACCACTTCCAGGGCGTCACAGGCCATGCACCACTTCCAGGGCGTCACAGGCCATGCACCACTTCCAGGGCGTCACAGGCCATGCACCACTTCCAGGGCGTCACAGGCCATGCACCACTTCCAGGGCGTCACGGGCCATGCAAGTCCGGATTTCGCCTAGCATAGTTGTACAAACATTGTGTGCGTCTGCATATCCAAGGGATTGTCAATTTACTCGGATAGCATCACCAGTGTCCTCAAGGAGCACCTTAGACGGCGCAACGTTCGTGACGACGTAATAACGTCTGCTATTTCACGAGAAGCATGGAACGTTACCAACGAATGTACCGTACTGGCAATATATGTTGCCGCAGTGAGGCCATGAAGCGTTACATTGGCACATGTTTGCCGCACGCAGGGCGTTACATGCAAAGTCGCACAGGAGCCGTTACACAGGTTTCTATATTGCCGCAGTCCTTTTTTTGCTATTGCCGCATCACTTTTTTTGCTATTGCCGCATCATTTTTTTGCTTTTGCCGCATCATTTTGAGTGAAAAGATCGCCGCACCCCGCCGGACGCGCGTTACGAACTCAACGAAAATTTGTCGCACTAGCCTGGTCGCGCGTTACGCCGCACCCCCCTGCGTTACGCGTTACGCGGCAACATATATTGCCAGTACGGTATTCATGTCTGTGGCCTCGTTGCTCCAAGGACAGGCATCGGCGATAGCCAGCTGGTTTTGAGACGTAGAACAAATTTAGTGGTTCGGGTGGTTCCTAGTACTTTGCACTCCACAGTATGTTATGCCTAAGATATTGTACTGTGGAGTTAACACTGATTTGTGTTAAAAGAGAAGAAACACATGAAAACGAGTCATGCAGCAACTATCCACGACTGTAACAAGATGATAAACAGTCAGAAAGTGCGATAATAGGGCACAGAACTGACAAGCTACTGAGACATTCAGCGACCCAAGACCTAGCTCTAACACATATGTTTCTTCTCTTTTTTTACATAATGGCTCAGTATCCGAATGATTTGGGTTAATGTAAAATATACCCAACAAAAACATAGGAAAGTGGGATGAGAGGATACGGCAACCCACTTCAAACACATTGCTGCTGCCAATTTCCATGGTGAGCTTGTCTTTCGGCGCAGTCTCTCCTTCAGCAACTGGTTGTGGGCTGAAGACACAGGCAGAGAAAGTGAATGAAAGACCGTCAGAAAGGGAGAAAGCGGGATATAAATGAGGAAAAGAAACCAACAGAGTATTGTATACCTTCAAGTAGTCGAGCCTGATGGCAACATACCTACTCACTATTTGCTATAAGCACAGCCACAGCCACACACACACACACCCACCCACACACACACACACACATGTACAGCTCCCCCCCCCCCCCCCCCCCCCCCCACACACACGGTGGTCAGAATTCGCAGAAGGAAACAGTGCACCCACCGGTTATGGATGACGACTTGCTCCTCGATGATATTGTTGTTGCCGATGACAATAGGTCCGGCTTCCGCATGTATGAGTGCTTTGGGATGTACGACTGTACCGGTTCCTATCGTCACATCACCTTTCAGGATGGCTTCTTTACAAACTACTGCACCTTTAGCAATTGTAGCATTCCTGAAAAACAGCCATAGAGACACACAGGCACACCGAGAGAGAGAGAGAGAGAGAGAGAGAGAGAGAGAGAGAGAGAGAGAGAGAGAGATTCATGTGTTTTCAAAAAGCACACAAATGGGCTGCTTTACACTAACACCGAAAACTGGTAACATATCTCTTTGTACAAGTACATGTACGTAGACGCAAAAACAAGGCAGGGGAACCCTCATGGCACAGGCCTCCAACATGCACAGTTTGTGCTTCGAGAGCTCTGGGACCACTCCATCTCAGTGGTCCGTTTCCAGCAGATATATGCGATTACACGCCCACGGCATGGCACCCATGCATAAAACCAACAGTACATAAACAGTACACCCCCCCCCCCCATGCATAAAACCAACAGTACCTACCCCCACCCATGCATAAAACCAACAGTACACACCCCCACCCATGCATAAAACCAACAGTACACACCCCCACCCATGCATAAAACCAACAGTACCTACCCCCAACCATGCATAAAACCAACAGTACATACCCCCACCCATGCATAAAACCAACAGCACACACCCCCACCCATGCATAAAACCAACAGTACACACCCCCACCCATACATAAAACCAACAGTACATACATACCCCCACCCATGCATAAAACCAACAGTACATACCCCCGCCCCATGCATAAAACCAACAGTATATTACCCCACCCATACATAAAACCAACAGTACACACCCCCAGCCATGCATAAAACCAACAGTACATACCCCCACCCATGCATAAAACCAACAGTACATACCCCACCCATGCATAAAACCAACAGTACATACCCCCAACCATGCATAAAACCAACAGTACACCCCCCCACCATGCATAAAAACAACAGTACATACCCCCACCCATGCATAAAACCAACAGTACACACCCCACCCATGCATAAAACCAACAGTACACACCCCCACCCATGCATAAAACCAACAGTACATACCCCCACCCATGCATAAAACCAACAGCACACACCCCCACCCATGCATAAAACCAACAGTACACACCCCCACCCATACATAAAACCAACAGTACATACATACCCCCACCCATGCATAAAACCAACAGTACATACCCCCGCCCCATGCATAAAACCAACAGTATATTACCCCACCCATACATAAAACCAACAGTACACACCCCCACCCATGCATAAAACCAACAGTACATACCCCCACCCATGCATAAAACCAACAGTACATACCCCCACCCATGCATAAAACCAACAGTACATACCCCCAACCATGCATAAAACCAACAGTACACACCCCCACCATGCATAAAAACAACAGTACATACCCCCACCCATGCATAAAACCAACAGTACACACCCCACCCATGCATAAAACCAACAGTACACACCCCCACCCATGCATAAAACCAACAGTACATACCCCCACCCATGCATAAAACCAACAGTACACACCCCACCCATGCATAAAACCAACAGTACATACCCCCACCCATGCATAAAACCAACAGTACACACCCCACCATGCATAAAACCAACAGTACACACCCCCACCATGCATAAAACCAACAGTACATGTACATACCCTCACCCCCAAAGAATGTGCAACTCCGCTATGGGTGCTGTCCCGACAGAATATCATATAATTATGGGCTTTTACCGTATACAGTAGCGCATGCCTAGTGCATTTCCTGCATACTAAAGAGTGCATAACAGGTAAACAGGCATTGGTAGCCTATAGTCAACTCTGACCGTAGCGGCAAGAAGGGTTAGAGACCTCATGTTTCACAGAGCTTGACATACTGTGCTCAAGGTGGTGCAATCTCCTCTTCCTCCCAGCCGTAGGCTGTGCTCACAACTGGCGCGTGTACATGTACGCGTGAAGCGTTTGTGCGTATTTCTGTTGGCTTTTGGGGCGTCATGCGTAAAAAAAATGCGCCGAAAAGGAAATTCCAACATGCAGGAGTTTTCAGCGCGTATCAGACGTGTACTGGCGTACATACCAGTCACCTTGACTGCCGGGGTCAAAAGATTTGTACTCGAAGGCGTCACACGCTCTAAATACGACTCAAATTGCTGTTTTTTTTGTGAAAGCTTGAACGCGCGTTTGGGCACGCATGAACCGCAAGCGTACCACGCCCACGCGCCGGTTGTGAACACAGCTTTAGTGCGGAGTGCTTGCACAATTCACTTTTTCGGCCGCATTTATTATGCGCAGTATTTGAGAAATCTCTCAGTGCACATCATGAGGGCTAGAATGCTGGTTTGGGGCAGGACGCTATCGTGTACACACAGGTGTCACAGACAATGCTCCGCAGAAAGCGCTCATGTGCGCACGCACACACACACACACACGCACACACATGACTCGTCGGTCGCAATTTCGACGACAATGTGCCGGTCCAGAACAACAAAGTCGAGCCCCAAAACAATTCCATTTTTGATAGCATGTTTGCCCTGCTTCGTAGCGCAGTACATACTAGTATACCTAGTTGGAAGATGTACTTGATTATGTCAAACGCCCAGCAGGTGTACTGTACAGTACACGTACACTTACGAAGGCGTACTACGAAGTTCTAAAATTTATTCGAATCGACGTTTTACTGCATGCGAGGAGTTCAATGAAGCGAGGACATCAGATTAGTTCACACCGAGGTGGAATACGAACTGGGATCGACTGGACCCGATGAGATATGAGAAATGAGAAACGTGCCTGAGAGAGTCGATCTAAAAGCAATAAATTACCTGCCTGCTATACCAGGCCAGAAACCTCCCAAATCCAACACAACTGAAGTCACTTACGCCGCCATGCTTGCACTTGTACCCAGAGCACGGTCGGTGCTAAACGATGCGATGAGAGATGATGGTGATGATGATGAGAAACAATGCCTGGCTGGAGACTGGATACGGAGCACTAAGATTTGTAGTCTTGTTGTAGTATCTGCAAAGACTTTTAGTTTTACTGTTTCAACAATTCAAAATCAAACAAACTCGAACTCCAGGAGTACTAAAAATACCGTGGTTTTAGTACTCCTTTGGCGTTGCACGTCGTTGCCGCATATGCCGCAAACAAAGCCATGATTCTAAAAAAATATTTTGTTCGGTAGTTTTCAATGGTTACCATGACTTCGCGAACAGCGTGCCAAGCGCTGGTACGGCACGACACCATGGCCACGATCAAGTTGGGTTCAGAACAAAGTCTGGGAGTGGGAGAGTTCAACTAACGTTACTTCAAGACAAAACGTCTGTTCTGTGTTCAGATCAGACAGTCCATCGATATCGCGATCCTCCCTCGTTCAACCGTCACAAAAATAATGCAGTCCTGTCATTCGATGTCTTCATCCAACTGCTTCTAGTCTTCTTCAGACCAAACCACCTGCAGCATGCGGTGCAAAGCCTCGTTCGTGACCGAATGATCCAGTACAGTATTGCAAAGTAGGCCAGGTATAGAAGCTCACCGCGCGCTGCTGAGTGACAAAAGCCAGAGCTGATGGTGAAGCGACGAGCTACTTTCTAACCGGACGGTGGCCGCAGAAAGTGCACGTAAGTCGGAGAGACTGCATGTGACCGATTCATTGGCAAGTTACTTGTGTCACCTCCAACTATGAGTATGATGCTTCTAAACCACGCAAGAAGGCTTGAAATTCGTTATGCTTGGCTTCCGTAGCAACTGGCGCGTGTATGTACGTGTCGCGCTTGCGGTTCATGCGTGCTCGAACGCACGTTCTGGCTTTCACAGGAAACAGCAATTCGAGTCGTATTTAGGGGCGTGTGGCGCCTTCGAGTACTAATTTTTTTAACCCCTCCACTCGAAGTGACTGGCGCCATGGCATGCACGCCAGTCAGTACGCACCTGATGCGCGCTGAAAATTGCATGTTGGAATTTCCATTTCGTCACGTTCCCATACGCGTGACGTCCAAAAGCCAGCAAAATACGCACGAGCGCGGCCACACGCACCAGTTGTGAACACAGCTGTAGTTCTAAACCGTGACTCCCAGTGCCGAGAGGCAGGGCCACACCCCCCCCTCCCATTCTACTTCCCCATAGCTAGATCTAGCTTTGCTTTACATTTCTGTTCCTTTTTCCTGGTGCGTGCTTGTGGCAGTGAAGCCGAGACCTTTGGTCGGTGGAGCCCCTGGTACCTCACCATCACTGCTGCCCAGTGCTCAGTAGCTGTTTGTTTTTGTCCACATAATTATTTATTTTACGAGTTGGGTTTGTGAATAATAGTAAACAAAAAAAAAAAAAAAAAAAAAAGCACCTGTACGGCAGCTTCCCCGTGCCTCACCCCCAAGACTAAGTACAATAGGCAGATTGACCGAAATGAAAACAAAACAAAACGTGAAGGAACTGGCCTGTAAATGATTGTTTCACATCAGGTCCGTCGTAACCTCCCCGGTTGGTCGGGTTTTCACCGGACCAACTTTTAGGCCACCAACGACGGTGTGTTTACTCCTGAGTAGTCTAATTTCAGAAATTTTCGGTGCTCAATATTTTCGGTAATTGGGCAAAAGGCCAGGTTAGGTGAACAGAAATATTCGGTACAGAGAAGCAGTTCCCTATTGGATTATGTGTGTTAGTGTTTGTTCGGTGTGTTGAAATTTTAGGTATGAAACAGATGCACCGAAAGTACCGAAAATAAAAGTACACCGAAAATTGGTGAAATTACAATCATGTGAAGGCATGTGTACTGTGACCCGCCATATCATACGAATGTATGAGAGGCCATGTTACTACCGGATAAATCAAAATTGTTTCTGCCGATCCTGCAGTCACGTGACACTGTCACATGACACTACGGAGGATTAGCAAGACGAAATTCGCGTTCGCGTTCTCTCTCCAAAGAAAGTCGAACTCTGTGACGGAATTCGCGTTACGAGAAGGATTAGCAAACAGAATTCGCACATGCATGATGTTGACACGACGTAGACAGTACAGCGTGGTAAATTTACGACTGCCCTGACACGAATCCACGATTCGTGTTCCGACTACTTTTCCGAACGAAAAATGCGAAAGTTCGCAATCCAGTTCGCGAACTGAAAAATGTTTGCGAACGCGAACGCGAATTTCGTCTTGCTAATCCTCTGTACTGTCACATGACACTGTCACATGACACTGTCGTGACTGTAGTCTAGGGGCATGATCGATTGGGCGAATCCCGAGCAAGTGTGCTCCGAGTGAGCGTGATCGTTTGGTCGAATCCGATCGAATCCGGAGTAGGTGTACTTGGAGTGGAATCCGACCACACCGGGAGTGGCCGGAGTGGAAATGGACTTTGGCGTTTTTGGACATCTTTCACAGAATCTTTGTACGATATGCGTACATTTTGCGTACTACACCCTTGTTTTGTTCGATTGGGCCAGCGTTGCTCGGACCACACCGCCTGCTCGCACTCAATCCAAATTCGCCAATCGATGACACCCTAGGCAAGGCCCGATTTTGCCAGTGAAGCATCGATAATTTGCCGCGAAATTTTGCTGGCTCATTGTCGATATTTTGCTTTCATTTTGCCGGGCCACTCGATATTTGGCTCACTTTTTGCTCCCAAAATTTCTGTCGCCTCTGGGAAATCCGACGGAAAGTGGGTCACGAGCAGGCGAAAATGAGAAAAAAGCGAGTCACGTTTTTGCAAAAATGTGCGAAAATGAGTTACGTGCACTGTATAAATGTAAATCTCCCAGTTTCCAGCAAACATACCGAAATTTTGCTCCGTTTCTCCAGCAAATTCTCCTGTCCAAATTCTTCGATATTTTGCTCGCAGAATCAGGGCTAGCAAGATCAGGCTATGTCTAGACTGTACTGTGGGAAGATATCCAGCCAAGGTTATGGAAACACAAGTACTACACTGACTCAGTCACGTTAGGGGTATAGGCTGTGTATGGGGGGGGGGGGGGTGCCCTTGGGTGACAAAGCCCCCCCCCTAAAAAAATGTCAATATTGGTTCAACAAACACCATTTGACGCGGTCCGCTGATCACACGTGCGACTACAGAACACACATTGACTGCATAGCTGCCCACAACATTTCCAGTTTAGATGTACATGTACATGTGTTCAAAATCCGGGAAGCCCAAACTTCTGACAGTGAGTAGTAGTAGTAGTAGTAGTAGTAGTAGTAGTAGTAGTAGTAGTAGTAGTAGATTTTATTATTTTACTAGGGGAGTCCCAACGGGCGTTGCCTTTTTACTGGGAACCCTAGGTGAATTTTTACCATGTTTACATACAGAGTAAGAGACGGGGCCTGACGGCAGTCAGTGGGAAGAGCATTCCATCTGTCTGCCGCCAGGAAAGAAATAGAACGCATGCCATATTGCGTAGAAACAGGCGGAAGAACTAATGCACGCTGTGCCTGGCCGCGTGTGCGAGCCTGGTGTCCAGGCACAGCAGCCCTAAGCTGGAACAAGGATTGGAGAAGGGGACTAGCAAGATGTGGGGTCAAGCAGCGGTACACGAAAACATAGAGTTTAAGATGTATGCGCTGTTCAAAAGAATAGCGATGATGTTTGTGAGTCTGCAGATCTACCTGCTCGGATCGGTGCGGTCACCAAAAAAAGTATGTTTTGTTTTCTTGCCGACTTGACTTGACTGCTTCACCACTGTTTGTAACTTTAACCCTGTGGAGCACCACTGACAGTTGCTATTATTGTCTATTCCCTGTTGTTGAATGCCTTGGAACACTCTGGTAACTAGAAGTTCTGTTCTGGGTTTTTGGGTTGTGAATTTGTTTGGTTTCCGTAGCGACAGAAGACATCGTGAAGGTGGTTGTTCTGCGGCACGTTGCCCCTGACGATGTCCATCGGCACTCACGCCCACTTCAATGCCGTCAACGTCGCCATCGACGACGTAGTGGGCAAGTTTCCGACGTACGACGCGTACCTGGACAGTCGCGTGGACAAGCGCGACCTATTCTTCTTGGAGGTAGGCGCCGTGTGTATGCAGAATGAATTTTTTTCTCTTTCTTTTCTTACTATTATTCACAAACCCAACTCGTAAAAAAATAATTATATTGACAAAAACAAACAGCTGCTGAGTCTGCACTGGGCAGCAGTGATGGTGAGATGCCGGGGGCTCCATGGCAACGACTCTGGCAGTGGCTTCACAACATGCGTAACACTCATACTCAAAGGCACACGGTTGCAGTTTGTAGTTTGGGAGTTACCAGGAGGAGAAGCAGACAAAGGCAGTGTGAGTATACGCACAGCCTACCATGAATACCTACTACCGTGTACTACGACTCTTTGGAATTACACTGAGTACAGTAAGACCTGGTTTAAGAGACCACCCCACGGTGCAAGCAAAAGCGGTCCTTAAAGCCAGGTGGTCTTTAGAACCAGGCCCCACAGTGTCTGTGTAGAACTGTCCGTGCATGGAACAACGGTCGTTAAGAGCAGGTGGTTGCTAGACCCAGAGGTCGCTTACATCAGGTTTTACTGTAGCACTAATATCCATGAACCTTCCAAGTTGGAAGGCCGTTGGCTAGCACTGTCGAGCAGTGCTCAAGCTGACTTTTATGCCATGGAATGTCTCAGTACTCTTTGTCAGTTTTGTGCTAGTGTATGTGAGACTTTCCGCAGATCAACTATGTTTTTTTTACTGACGTACACGTAATGATTATTACATTATGCGGAACCTCTCGCTCTTCTTTTGGTAACTGTTGCATGAACAACTCTCCTGAAAAACTTATAACAATTTTTTTCTAAACTATCGCGTCCGTAGTGTTTAGCCTAGGAAGTTCCTGACTTGCTTATACGCTTACCTAACTTCCTCGGGCTGCACTGACTTGGTTAGGCTGAAACCACTCTAGGGTAAACAGCGTGAACCTTTTACAGCATAGTACACATGTCACTACTAGAAGGACATGGACCCAGAACGCAAGACCCGGCATTTCGTTTTAGCAATCTGCGGAGTGAGGACCCCTGTTATATAGCAACGTTCCTGCAGTTTCTTTTACACGTTTTTTTTCATTTCAGACTGCACTGTGGTACAGTTACGATTGTACGATTACTTTTGGAGAATCCTTCAAATAAAGCCTAAATGAAAAATGAAAAGATGACGATTGTACATGCATTTTAACATTGCACTGTCAATCAAGTGAAGTGTGGCTGCATGCGTTTACGAAATGCTGTACGCAAAGGTAAACAAGTCATGTGTAGCAAGCTACAAGGGCGAAAGGTTTGAAAGCCGCTGGCGTGACCGTAGCCAGCATAGCTATGCCCTAGGGTTTTTAATGAATTGAAAAATGAACTGTAAGTGTATGTATCGTTAATTTGTTGATGCCATCTTGTGTATCACCGAAGTTGCACCAACCTCTTCTTCACGTGAAAGTTAATGGATTCCAGAATTGAAATTTGTCTTGTCCCCCACTCCAGCGGTTATCCAGAGGTAAAGTGGGAAAATATCAAGAGCACATGAGAGAGCAGTTCCTCTGAGGTGTGATCCAAACAGGCATATATCATAATTGTCTCTGGGATTGATATTAATCTTATAACAGTTTATCTCATATTTGGGGGAAATATGGTAAGTTAAAAGTTTAAACATGAAGTTCGTACTTCTGCGTGGCTCTCCTTCTTTTGCAGGATGAGGAGACGGCGCGGAGGCTCTATGAACTAGGCTTTCCAGGGAAAGGAGAGGTAAAGTTTGGATGTACATGTATGTGTGTTTGTGTGTGTGTGTGTGCGTGTGTGCACGTGTGTGTGTGTGTGTGTGCATGTGTTTGTGTGTGTGTGTGTGTGTGTGTGTGTGTGTGTGTGTGTGTGTGTGTGTGCATGCTTGCATGGGGGTGGAGTCCGTGCGTGCTTGCAGAGGAGTCTGATCATGCCTAACCCTGTCTGAATTTTCCTCTACGTGCATCGGTGATGGATTGAATGAACAGAGCATGCGGTGTGCAGACTTGAGGGTACTTCTTGACTACTGCTGGCCAGCAATGGTGTGCAGACTTGAGGATACTTCTTGACTACTGCTGGCCAGCAATGGTGTGCAGGCTTGAGGGTACTTCTTGACTACTGCTGGCCAGCAATGGTGTTCTACTTCCTTCGCAGGAGCTTGCGCTTTCCCTGGCGGGTGAAGCTGGGATGCTATGGAGCAGCTTATGCTATGGTGCTTAGGGCCACCGGAACCGGTCCAGGGGGGGGGGGGGGAGGTAGGTCGGTCATGCCCGGGCCACTTTTTCCAGTTCCACCCCCCCCCACTCGTGGACCACTCTTAAACTCGCTTCTCCGGCCCTGGTGCTCTTGCAGCACATGTGTGCCATTTCCCCGGCCCATTTGCCGGAGTCAGTGTCTGCTCTAGGATTGCCAACCAGCCGGGTACACGTGATTCTAGCACAACATTTGCAACCGGGTCAGAGTCGGGTACGTTGAAGAGCGGCTATAGTACTGTCGGGCGCCAAAGAACCGAACGCCGAAGAACGGCCAGGCTAGAATTTCACCAATTTTTAAGAAAGGTGGTGCAGGCTGGATGTTTTGCATATAAGAACGGAAACCGCAATGTACACTATAATGTGCACTCAGACGTATAACTCTGCATAAATGGACATGTAAGACTGTACCATCGAATAAGAATTAAACCGCTGTGTTCGCTAAAAATAAGAACGGGCTAGGCTAGAACCCTGACCCCCCAGTTCTTCGGCGCCCAACACTACTGTACTGTACATCAGTGAGTCGTAAAATATTTTGCGACATTTTACGACTCACTGATGTACATGATGCAAGCGTTTGCACTACAAATAGCCACAGCTTTTGTAGATCAGTGTGTACGCCCTCGAAATGTAAAAAAAAAAGTACTCCACATGCCTCTCAACCGGGGTACTTGTGACCCTGTGCTGTTTTTCCAAACCGGTCCAAGTACCCCCCCCCCCCAACCAGGTGGCTGACCCGGCTCTTGAGCAGACCCTGGCCCAACTGTATTTTCCGGTGTATAAACCGCACTGGAGTATAGGCCCCATTTTCTTGCCACCGAATACAGGCATCTATCCTACTTCGAAGTATTCTGAAAGGATTGGGAGAAATTCAAATTTAAAGGATCAGTCAGGGAAGTGAACTGCCTTAAAAGAGAAAAAAATGCCAGACCCACCAGGATTCGAACCCCAGAC